CCCTGCCGTCAGGCGCCATGTTGTGAAGAGCTTGTCGGAAGAGCACATTGTGGTGCTGTCAGATTGCGACAGAATAAAGCAGAGATTTTTGTGACCAGAACAGTGAGTTGCACCTGAGTGTCGTTCTTCACAGCGTCGAACCCTGTGCAGCGGGACACGCTACAATATTGTAGCTAATAAAAGTGAGTATGTAGTCCATGAATATGACGACAAAAGACAAAAAGGGGAAAAAAGAAAAGGTTAAAATAAAGATTAATAAAAAATGTAGACCCCAGGAAACCCGAAACCTATCATTTTGACGTCGTTTTTTATCCTGATGGACTGTTTGCCTTAGAGGGAACATCATTCCTGTCTGTCTCTAAGAGTTTTATTCAGCCGATTATTTTATTCATAAACAACTTATACAAAATATTTTCCTGTTGGCACTCACGCACTGAAGCCCCAGAATTACCTGCCCCATTCGATAAGATCAATGCAGTCCTAGATATACGACAAAAGGACAAATATTCACACAGGAAATCCCTTTCGACAATTTATTTCTTTAAAATTCACGATATAAAATGCGTTTGGAGAGGTGGTTGTTAAGCAGATGAATAAACAGACCGAGCTATGACAAAATGTGCATGTAAAGTGGGTATGGACTCCATGATGCAGCACTCCCTCAACGGTGAAAGGAGAGCGGTTAAGGACACATTGGCTGATTTCAGGCGGTTAGTTCTCGTTATGTTCACGAACAGCTCGAACGCCAGGAACAAACAACCGGTTATTGCTGGAAGTAGTGGCATGCGACTTGGCGGCGGCCATGTACGTTATTCGAGAGTTAATGTTTGGATGGGCTGGATTCTTTTTTATTTAAACAGGAACATTCATTTCCGTGTTATGGAAAACATGCAAAATTTTGCAAAACTCCCCATTGTCTGTGATCTCTCTACTTGTTGCAGCTGGTCGACAATCAAAATCTCACGAGTTTTTCCGTGTGTTCCTGTAAAACCCTGAAGAGGCCTTAGTGTGTGATCTTGTTCCGAGAATAGTGTTCTTGGATGGTGTTCCCGCTGTTCGAGCGCGATAACATGAAACCCGTGTCAAGAACAGGCCGCTAAAAACTCCATCTTCAGGGCAACACTGATGCCGTTCGCCTACGCACTGAAAAACCAGATGTCGGTTTGTTTTCATTCTCATGAAAACTAGTCCTAAAGATAAAACACACGGTGTTATATTAAATGCTAGGCCGAGTGTGAAAGCAAAGGCTGCGGCTTGTTATGAAAAACAGATGCACCAATGGACGGCACTTACTAGCAGCTAAAGCCGTTTACCATGCATTAATCCAGACCCACCGACTGAGGGACTAATCGACCGACTAAATGATTGACCGACTGAATAGAAGCCACTTCATTCGCACATGGCCTTACATCTTAAAGCCCATACTGCTTCGGAAGTAATACCAATGAAACAGGTTTCTGAATAGACTTCTTTATGATCTAAGATAAAAATCATTCCCATCACTGATTAATGTTTATGTTTTGGTTCTATAACAAGCCCCTGCACTTACGGTTTGTTGTTGTTCCTCCAATACAATGCTTTCGCCATCTACAAAATAACGCGCTCTTACAAAATACCCGTCCTTTTTGTTACCGCTTGGGGGCGCTTTTCCAATATCCGAGGCCTCTGGCTTCAGTGAACAATGCCCTTCCTTCAGTAATTTAACAACGCAATAGGACTCGGAAATTAGTTCTTTGGGTTACTCGTACCTATTTGAACCCTAAAAGAGCCGTTTATCCTTAAGACCATCTTACTGCCCTGGTAGGGGACAGATCCCCCTCAGAATTTTAGATGTCCAGTACCTGATCTGTTTGAAGCTGGTTTCAAGTTTAAAACTAATTATGTTCGTAAAGTCCCCACTTTAGCTCCCATCCTGACGTCTCTCGGCCCAAGGCATTGTGAGTATTCGGTAAGACATTGTTGTTGGAGAATGTCACGATGGAGCTGGTGGATTCTGACCCGGCTCTTTTGGGGTTAAATATATCCCAATATTAAAAAAATGGCAAACACTCAAGACAGACCAATATTACTTTTTAAGCCCTCCTTATTCCACCTTCACATAGCCACAATCAAATTTGTAAAAAAATGCATTTTGGTCCCGTAGCCGGTTTGGAACAACACCAGGTTGATACTCATTAACCCTTAAAATTTAGAAGGTTGCATCTTTTGCAGGATAATTACGAAACAGAGTGCTGCTTGCTGAACAATGACAAATAGTGAAACGATGAATACGAATACGGCAGAAGTTTCAAATGACACACAGCTCATTCGCAACCCTTTAGAGTGGTTGTCTCTCGAAGATTGCGAGGAATTCATCTGGTTGGTGGTTAAACTCTGAACGGGCCGCGTTGGCTGCCTCTTTGACCATCTGACAGAAATAAAAAACAATAACAAATCAAAGTGATCAATCTGTCCTTTGACTCGCCAAAGTTCAAGTTTACAGATTTTAGTTTACAGTATTTTACCTAATGTGACCAGATGCAACAAAATTAGTCTTAATGTTTTCTGCAAATGCAATGAAAAGACACACTATTCCGTTTGATGTATTACCCGGTTTTTATATTTTAATTTCCATTACTATTATGTACAAGTAGTACGTGGGTGAGAGACATACAGTCCTCCTTGAAACCAACGATGCAGTATTCTGGTATGTGGCGGCTTAGTACTTATTTTGCAGGTTTGGGTCTGTAATTTATCATGCAATATATTACCATCATAAGTCATGCGATGGTGCATCGCTCATATTCATTATTGATAAACGGTAGGATCGATGCCATGCTTAATAACTATATCCTGTGTGAAAGTTTGCACTCATTAGAATACCAGCTTCTGATAGGTCAGAAGCTTGTCACATGGTGTCAGTCCGTTGTGCATCAAGATCGGGCTTGTTTTGCACCAGACACTATTTTTGCACACACCCTCTCAACCCTCGCGTGTATATCAAGCCATAAAGGTTGATATTGTCTTTGGTAGAAGCCCTATTCTCTTTGGAGGGATATTATTTGGCTTTAAAGAAATGCATTTGAATGGAATAGTCTCCTTTTCAACAGATGGGACTTGATGACGCCACTTAATTAAGCTTTGTCTTCAAATCTCGAGGACATCCATTGCCTCATAAGTGCTTTGGTTCGACCTTCGAATACTTACACATGCAGTGGTATCTCTCCTCCTCATACCTGCCGTAGCTGTTGTCGCAGCGACACAGTTGCTTTGTCAGCCAATGGCGGCATCCTATTAAAGTGAAAGCAAACAACGAGAAAGATTAAGTCTTCGTTCATTTCTAAACCAGCTACACCAACTTAATGAGAACTTCGCCTGAATTATACTGTGAATAAAACGGCTAGTTCCTTTACTGTTGGTTCTGTTTGTGAAAGTCTTTTGATATCAATGTCTACATATGAAAAAAAGTCTTGAAGAGGGTGTCTCAAATCAGGATTGTTTTCGGTCGGCAATAATTCAAAAATCGAAATGTTGTATTTCTCAAAGGTGTTTTACATTTTGGTTACTATAAGATTATGGATTGAATAAATCAAAAACATCATAAGACCAAACAAAATAACTGTTTAATTGTTACTTCAAATTTATTATAATCAAGTCACTTGCTTATGAAATTTCCATTTCAAAGACGATGATTCAGAGAGCAGTTCGGTCTTTAATCCTGCAGCTATAAGTGGCTTCATATGTTTTTTTTATAAGGGAAATTATTTTGTGAATATTTCAAACAAGTTGTCGCTGTACGGCTTTGACGAGGCAGTCTCGGGTGCAAAGTCTTCACTGTGTCCCATTACACAGTCATCTGTCAACGAGAAGTACAGAAATTAATTTGCCAATTCGGTCCTAGTTTGTCTTCAGCGGTGGGCGAGTCATGGTGAAGCAAAGACAGAAAAAAAAACAATCGTACCAGCGCACGCAGGTAATTTAAAGAGCAACCCATTTCCGCAGGAAGACAGTTTTGTATGAGTACGGTACATGTGCAGTAGTGGCTTGTTAGAAGCTGAAGCCATTAACGATATTTGAAGGGATATAACCACAGAAATGACCGCAGAAATTGCAGACAGGCTGGTCATGCATGTTTGAAGAAGTAAAAGCAATCCATTCATAATGCTATAAAACTAATTGTTTTGGTGCATTTATGACAAATGATTTTCCAATTGGGATTTAGGGCACAATCGAATAAAATGAAAAACGTGAATTCCGGATGTTTTGAAGGCGCACTTTATACATAACTTCATTGACGTCTGTTGGGCTTGCAGATTTTTTGAAATCAGATAGTCTTGAAGGTAGCGGTTTCATTACAGACTTCCCCTCCATGGAACCGTATGGGATGCAATCTCATGAGGTTCGTGTTGACAGAATGCATTACCTCACAGATTCGCATAAAGTGTGTTGTTAAGTGTATATTCCTGTGGGTGCACGCACATGTTATTGAAGGTTGTCTTACTATAATTTCTTTGCATTGATTGACATTTTGTTTTACGTTTAAGGTTTATTTGTCTTTCCCCCACCGCTTTTAATCTTTTTAATAACTAATGAAACTACCGTGTTTAAAGGAAAACTGTAAATAAAACGTCAACATCAGGCGGCCGAGAGTAAGAACTAAATTAGCTATAGGGCGTCTTGGATGTACCTTATGAGCCGCAAGCTGGACCAAGAGGGCACAATTTGCTTAGCAACGGACGCACCTTTGGTCTTAACTAAACTTCGCTGGTTCACAAACGACTATGAAATGCATGCATTACGATAGCATCACTACCAACGAAATGAACATTACAGATCAACGTGGCTCTTTTCAACCGATGAGGGATGCTTCTGCTGAAGGCGGATATATTTTCCCCTAACAGAATACCAATCACATAAAATTACGGTAAATATCTCCTTACTCCCTGCTACGCTATAAATCATCTAAATTGTGCTGAAATCCCAATTGTGACCCTTTGCACGTTCAGAGAACCTGCGTGCTGGAGCGAGAATGTGACATTTTCTTGCCAAGTATGCAGTATTTCAGCCCCATTGAACTCCACGAACTTTTCTGGTCTCCGTGACTATACAGGCCTCTTTGGTTGGTAATTAAACGGCCAAAATTTCCATTATTGCCCCATCATTTCGAAGAATAGGCTCGACTGTGACCTTTGGATGCAGCACATGCTGCTTGCAATCTCCACTTATAGAATGATGTATGTTTAGTAGCGCAATGGAATTAAACATTGACGCCTCTGAAACCAAAAATTGATCTTATTGTTAAGGCGGACGTTTCTCACTTACTCGGGTACGATCTTTTGTCCATCTGCAAGAGGTCCTCACTCATCTCGTCGTCCCGTTTTTCAACCTCGCGCTCAAGAGCTTCAAAGTCTAAGTCGTCCTCAAGCTGGGGATCGTAGAAGGCGGTTGCTAACGAGAATACCATGGCCACGGCGAGTAGTATGACGAGTGATCTGGACGCCATTTTGCCAATTATGGTTACTTTCTGAAAATGTACGAACAGAAAAGCAAAATATCACTTTGAATGTGTCACTCTGGTGATGTAACTGCGGGTAATGTTCCCGCCTTGTTTTAGTCAATTATTTGCAAATAATGAATAGTCGTTTGATAGTTAATTGCTCAACTTGAAATGCAGGTTTTACCGTGGGTTCCTGATCGATATTTGTGTTTAGATCTTCCCTAGTCTGAAGAGAGTTTCGTTTCAGTCAATTACATTTATATCTTAATATTAAATAGACATTTAGTATTCTTTTTTTCAACTTCAAATTTAGGTTTTAATGTGGGTACATGATCATTATTTATATTTGCGTCCGCCTTAGTCTGAAGAAAGATTAAAAAAAAAAGAATTAACAAAATTCAGATGTATCAAACTTTCAAGGAGGTTAAAATAAATTGCGTTGGACCGTAAACCAGCTATAGGCCTACTCATCGTTTTTAAATGCTCTTTTTACAAGAATTGTTTTCAGAGTAAAATGTTGTCGTCTATGTTTTCAATTTTTAGAAGCGCCCATTTTTGTTAGCGAAATATAACGCATGTGTCTAAAGAGAAAGATTTGGCAATTGCCCCTACACGTTTCTTCCGCACCAAAGTTTGGAATCTCTGAGAACGGTGCTTTAAACTGTAGATTGTTATCAATATCAAAAAGCAAAAGCAAACAATATACAATACAATATATATACAAAGCAAAAAAAAATCATCACTGAACCACAATAGTGCATCCAAGAATCCATTCGAGAGAGAGAAATAATGGAAACGATTGGGGGGGGCAGAGATAATCATAAAGAAACTAAGATGGTTGAGTAGGTACTTGCAAATGCACTCGAAGGAGTGCTAGGAGAGTTTTGACCCAGGACCAACTAAGGCGAGGAAAGCAGCACTGTGCCAACTTTTCCCCTAGTACGATTCACCCCATATGCGCCGAGTGTGCATCCACCCACGTTCCCAGTCAGGCTGGCCGGCTCCCCGTCTGAAACTCATTTTTAATGCTGCTCGATTTTGTCTTAATTGCATCGCTAAATCAATTGGTTATCTGAAATTAGATGTCCCGTTCATAGGCCCAGAAACCCGCGCATCACAGATCGTCTCGTGCTCGTCTTTTGATTATCATGTAATAAAAGTGGAATCCCTTGGGGTTAGCTTCCATCACAGGACCAAACGCTCCACTGCTCATTGGATGATCAGAAGACAAATTGAGATGAGTTCTCAATGCACTAATTTCTCTTTGGTTTATTAGGGGAAGCAGACAAGATGTATTAAGTTACAGTGATGCAACATTAGAGGTGAAACGGTAAACATTCGGCCTTCCCTTTTTCGGAGGGCCCTGACAGCAGGTTGGGGAATGTTTCTAAACAGCGAGGTAGGGCAAACAAAAGAAAGAAACTCACAAAAAGGGAACAAACAAACAAAGAAATAAACAAAAACAACAACACGAAAACCAAAACCAAAGTGGGCTAGAGTGCAAGGAACTTGACGGGGAGAGGTACCTTATCCCTGATGCTAATTTTTAGGCTATGTGCGCGGGTTTTGACTGTGGCTCAAAAAAGCTTGTGAAATAATAAAAGCTACTAGCTCACGGTTGAAGCCACTTCCGCAGACGAATAATTTTCTCTCAGTCTGAGTGTGTTAATTCGGATTCAGCATTAGCAACGTCTCTGTCGGGATAATTTTGATGAAGAAGCTATAAAGACTAGCATGCAATTATATAACTTCCTCTGGCGAAACCAGCGCTCTCATTTTCATTAATATTAATTTACCATCAATTGAATAAACAGTTGACAGGTGCAGTTTTATACCATGACCAAAAAATCTAATCTTATAACTAAAATGACCACGTAATAGAAATGCTTCACTAAAATCCTTGCAATTGCTCCTTTGTAATTCACGTGTTCGAATATTGTTTTGATATTTTTCCCCCAGAATTTTGGGGCCTTTGGGGTTTTAATGGTAATATGACTTTGCATATTCATGGCAAAACTGTGACGTAGCTCGAAGCGCAGAGACTCAATGTTGCAGTGATTTGCACACAACTATTGCTAGATTTATCTTTTACTTCACTGCCGAAAACTTCAATTTCTCTCGGTTATCATTCTTGCTTACGTTCATGTATGTGGCATGAATAAGCGATCAATCTTTTCTGAGATATGTTTCAAAGAACAAAACTGGGGTTAACAAATTTGAACATAAAACCTGCAAACTGAAAAATGTGTTCCTGGATTTACATCACACTAACTTTGTCCTGAAAAGCTTGGGCATTTGAAGCAAAATATGGGACAAAGAGAACTTCCCACCTTTGANAACAATAGTCTAGATTGTGTATAGGGTTTGGACAGCTAAGGGGGGTAACCTTCCATCCCACATCTTGCCTGGTACATCAAATTTGTAAAAGAATCAAGCAGTTTCCATACATCGAAGAAGGGTTAGACATGCACAAAAAGTGATTTTGTTAAGTTGTTTTAATCCTTTAGCGTTCTTTTTTTCGCCCTGCCAATGAAACGAAAGAGGTCTATAAATCTCCACTACACGCCAATTACAGAAGGCTGGAGGAGACAAAGAAAACATCAACAGAAGCGATCAAATAACTGTCCCCACCAACATTCACTGTCGGAATCCTTTTCCAGGATGTTGCAGATCGCATTGCTAATCATTTGATATCCTTAACCAATTAAGCGGTGAGCGCGGAAATGATCTTAGCAGTGCAATTCTTTCCAATCGCTTGTTCAGTAAAGACATATCATTTCGATAATCCACTTTACGGGGCTGATGCCCCCCGTATCGTGTTTTGCATCCCTCATTCCGAGCGGTTTTAATATCTGAATTGCGTTGCCGTTTGACGACTTTAACAGATTTTGTAGGTGGATGTCTGGGCGTAGAAGCGTGACTGTTTGAAAAACAAGTCCGACACCCCCCAAATAAAACCAATAATACAAAAAATAAAACAAAGCAAAAAGCAAAATAAACAAATCAGAATAAAACTATACTATACAAAAACCAGAAGGAACAAAACAAGCAGAATTAAATACAAAAGGCAAGGGAAAAACTAAACGCAAACAAAGAAGAGGGCAAACAAAACGAAACACACAAAAACCTCCTAATCCTGAACACAAGTGCTCCCCCCCCGTAAATTCGGGCTGATTAACACTTTGGCATGTAGTTAAATTGTTGTGTCTCCAACCAAATTGGCCAATGTTGCAATGCCCTATTCATTGAAATATTCTGGCATGCTATTTTCATTTTATTTACGAGACATTCACCTTTCAGTTCCAGCTTAATCTTCGTCCTCAACAGCGTATTTGCCGAGGAATCGCTAGTGTAGTAAACTGTAAAAGTTAGGGTATAAATCTCTCACAATTTTAATCATTAAATATGATAAAACTAGATTTCTTTTACTAATGGGCGAACGTAAATTCCAAAACACTTGCAAAAAGGGACTCGCAAAAATTGTCAAACCTTTTATGAAAACAAATGAAAGTATGAGCGGATAAAAACTTTTAAGGGTTTAAAATTCGTACGTTTAATCTGCAATACCGCAGAGGCCTTGTTCAATTGAATGGCGAACATATTGCGTGAAGGAGTGGATAATTTGAGAGCTCTCCTTGTAAACATAAACTACCTGTGGCGTCATTAAGGGTGGCATGGGGGTACACCGCACGCACAAGGTCTGTGCCCCCCGTTCAGAAATTAGAGAAGGAAAATATCATATCAATGGTCCCCCTTGGTCATTGTTTTAACTGCGACCGAACCCATTGGGTGTTCCCCTTCAGAAGACGAGTCCTCCCCAAGTGCCCCTTGCAAAATATAACCCAGTTACATTTCTGCTCTCGGTTTTGCCTCTTCAAAACGCATGGGAGAAACATTTTGAGAAAACATAACATATCTATGTCTGTTATACTGAAAGACCCTATTTAGTGATACTCGATAAGATGGATACACTATCAAGTGAATGGGTTTCAGAAAAATGATAAAAGATGCCATCACGTTATTCTTACCTGTATTGCAGTGCTCGGTACTGTGCTGTCGTTACAAAAGTGACTCTTGTCAACTGGTGGGACGTCACTCCTTTATATTCTCTCCGTATCCGGTCAGGCAAGTCACGATTTCCCCTATTCTTCCTCCTCAAAATCCCGCTGGGTATGGTCTCTCTCCACGGACGCACTTACCCTTACAAGAATTGCCAAGAACGCGAGAGTAACGCGCGGGGGGAGCACAACCCACATTAACCGCCAACGATCCCACACCGCTAACGTACGAGAGGGGTTAGCGCGTTGAAACGGTCCAATGAATGCGCTTTTCTCTGCAAGATATGCCTACACGCGCCACCTACACGTGGGTTGCGCTACTGCGCACGAACCTCTACCGCCCAATTACGGGTTGACAAACCGGCAGGGCTAATTAGCGTTGTGATAATAATCACTCAAGCACTTCAAATTTAGGAGGAAATTAGCAGCCTTACAAATTAGAAGCGACAAAGGAAAATTGGCTCACGCGGACTATGTGTACTTTTTGCCTCATAATATGTATCAAATTATTGCAAGTTGTTTGGCAATAGTGTAGGTAGATAAGAGAAAGAACAGCCGATGAATTAAGTTTAAAAAAAATGCCTGCACAACAAAGAAACAATTTTATTTTCATTAGAATGCATACCGTATCCAATTACTGATCCTATGTCACACACTTAAGAAATGACAAGAACTGTTTTGCTGCGCTGAAAAAATTGATCGTTTTTTCCTAATGCTGACACCTGTTTTGCAAATGATTGTAAAAGTAGATTGAAGAAAAACAACCAAAATGGCTCTTCTGGAAACACATTTTTTGCAAGAATGTTACCTTTCTTGTTGCATTCTTAACACTATTTTTTTCTACCGGAAATACCTTCCCTTTTAAGTAAAACATTGCAGAGAAGGATGCGATATTTTCAAGGAATTGCAACGCCTGAACACCCATGTCATGACGTTTAACCAGCGCTGCTTATCTAAATATAGATGAGGTGTGTATGATCGAGAATTGTGACGTTTGGGTATATTTATACCGCAACTAAGATAAGATATGGTACGCTGCGTGCTGGCGTGTAAATTAGACAATATTGTCAAATGATCTTAGCTAATCGAAAACTTGTGCGTCTATTGATCTGTAACGCTCAAACTGTATTAATGATAGCCTGTAGAGTGACTGGAATCCACGACCTCTGGAATTCTTGTAGTCAGAGTCCTTGACACGTTTTCGGTCTTTGGTTAGAATGCAAACACTGTGGTACTGAACAAACTCCTTCTTTGTCTATGTAGGCCAACACAAGTCCGCTGATGTCCTATATGAATCTGGGACACTAATTTGACTTTACAATTTCGCTGTCTACTCTTGCTAGTCAGGTGGCTTAGTGAAATTACCGGTTACACGGCGGATAAAAGCATCAAATTTGGCATGCGACTTCCCTGAGGACTAGTGGCTTTTAAGATGTATGTGTGTCTTATGCCTGTCCCTGGATGAGCCATGTGGAACTCAACATGAGCTCTATCATGCCACAGGAAGTGGCCTGTGGTTTAACTGATTAATTTTTCATGACCATTGTTTTAATGGAATTTAGGGCATGCTGGGCTTAAGATGGGAGTCAAATGTTTCCAAAAGACTAACACCTTTACTGCCCGGCTAGGGAATTTCAGTGTAAAATGAATGCACAGAACATGAGGTGGATGAACTGCCACAGGTGGCGATATCGGTGAAGACCTGATCAGTGTCGACAAATATTATTTCACACAGTGTGCATATTTCACAAAGCCCAATTCTTACTATGTCACTTTGGCGACTTAAGATAAGCAACATGCTGATAGTGTATCCAATGAAATGACAGAATTGATGGGTGTCATCTTAGCAACTAGGCTAATCACTGCATCATTTTGCTTTTCGGTTTCTCAATGACTTTAGATTGTCTAACAGAGTAATGAAAGCTTATACTTTTTACTACCCATGTCGGGGAAAATGGGGGAGTGGGTTAGCGTAGCGGTTCTTTCCTCGCTTTGCACCAATGAGGCCTGGGTTCGAGTCCTGGTTTGGCCCAGGCTCCAAGTGCATTTGGTTTCCAGTTCATACTCACTCTCACAGGTTTTCTCCGGGTATTCTGGTTTCCTCCTGCCTCTAAAACTGGACCTTCTTCCTAACTCTATAATGTGATCCTGATTATTAAAGGTTATGAATAAACGAATAGCCTGAGTGGCTAAAAGCGCCTTTAAAACCAAACCAAACAACAACGAAAATGGTTTCTTGCTCGAAACTTAAACTTTATAAATTCATAATTTTCTCAACAAAGCAACTGTAGCATGCAGAGATAATTGAGAATAATAAACTTCCAAACTCATACGAAGTTGTTGATTTCATTGTTAAGAATTGTGTTCATATGGTTGGTGCCTGAAAAAACCGCACGACGTGATGATGACGTCAAATGTCAAGTTGTTTTTACTCTGGCCCAACCTATGTTCTTTAGTTGCCAGGTGTTCTTATGCAGAGGTTGAAAACCGATTCCACAAGATGTACTCGTACCGTGTTTACTGAAAAACTACTCATGGGGAACCCAGTACATGCAGATTTGACGCGCTAACCTTACTACGCGCGACAACGGGGCAATTTGAATGAGTAGGCACGCATGCGCACGCACCACTGGAGCGAGGAAGCCATTTTTAATCATGACAGTGACCTACAACTAACAGACGAAAAAATTGATTGATTTATAACATGGCTCCCCAGGCGGAGGCCACGCTCCGTAAATTTTTATACCCCGTGACAATTCCAGTGTTGCGGATTATCACTGCTTTTGTCTGAAGATTATTATCTGCGAGTGATGGATTTTAGGAGGGTATGTGAAACGCCAAGTCGCATAAAAAAGACGTCTCCAATCAAGTGTGGGTGATATCGTACTGTGCACGAATAACAGCTACAAGCCTGGGGCTATTATTAAAAAGGTGACCAAGTTTTTTTTTCACAGAAGTTCTATCGCTAACTTTAACTTTCCGTTTTGTTTTCTTGTTGGAGCTCTGGCCAGCACGAACATTCAAGGGGAGTCAGGTCAGCGCTGTGGTATTTTTCTCGCTTTCCACCATTGTGAGGGGCTCGAAATCCCACCAAGGCCGACATGTGAATTATAATTTTAACTGATTACACTACGTTTTGTGGAATATTCTTTCCAAGTCTTTTTCACAGCCCCAAAAGACTATCTCTTCGTTCCATCTAGTTACGTTTTTTTCAAATCAAATCAGAAACATTCTTGTAACTATTTATTAATCAGCTTAAAATATGATGTAAAGTTTGGTGACAAAACCATTTCATTTACTTTCGTCCCATTTATAATACCAAAAAAGTGGGTAGTCTTCGACCATTTTAAGATTTCGCAGCTGAATATGATTTTAAACCTGCCTTTAAAAGTCAACACAGACCCCCAGAATCTAGAATATTGTGTCCAATATTCCAAATAGCCAAAATCCTTTTTTTTTCTGTGTAAGAAATTTTATTCACAAAGGGACACTCTGCAGTCCACGATCGCCAACAATGACCAAATGTCGATGGAGCTGAGTGGCTTTGGTGCTGTTTTCATCCCCACTCCTTCTGATTGTCTTGGGACACCCGGGGCGAAATTCTCTCCCCTTCCGTAAAGCTCCCTCCTCTCCTCGCTAGAACGAAATTACATCCGAATTTATTTTCATTGGTTCTGGACGGGTTGACACCTCGCTGATCCCGTGGGACGAGAGATACAGAGGGCTCGATTCCCTGCCTTTAATTAGTTTGTGTGCCGCTGCATACGCGCGGACGCTGATGGATTGGGTTTTGCGTTCGACAGGTCAGTCCCTCCTCAAAACCTGTTTGCCGAGTTGCAAACTCAAGCTGAAGACCTGGTAGCATGCGGATCAGCCAGTGCACAGAAGTGATGACGCCCTTGCCATGGGTGTACATGTAAGGCGTGCATTCTCCCTCGACTCGGAGTGTTGGGTGTTAGTCTACGTTTTGAGTTGATCCGTAAAGAACGATAGACCTTATTCAAGGGGAAGCTGGTTTAATTTTGTTGCCAGAGTCTATCTTACTCATTGTAACTGGTTAAATGATGGTGGAACGTGCCAGACTTATTCGCGTCCCACAACTCTCTTTCATTTTTCATTAATTAAAATGTGACTTAAAACATGTAGATATAATAATCTCAATTTTAATTCTTCATCAGCCTAAGTGACATTAATTTGTAATGAAGTTTTATTTCAGTACTTTCATATATTTATTGTCAGGTGCGAAAATTAAAAAAACAAACTCCATTGTCAATTCAATGTGGTCGACTTGTGAAAAATGACAATAGTTTACGCAGTGTGTTACTGTTAGACAAAAGGCAAATGACATGTAGAGGTATAATATTGCTACTGCTGTTCATATTAGGTGACTTACATTATGCATCATCTATTTCATTTCATCCAAATGCTTGAGGTGCAACACTCACCTCGTTATTGCTGTCCTACACGACGCAGATGCCATCAGAACAATGGAAAGTCGTATAATTTTCATCATGGCTTTTGAAACAGGGGTATTGTAAACCAGATGGGCTGATTGCCAACAGTTTGGTCCTAAAAATGGGATCATCTCACAGCCGAACGGTGGATCCATGCTTGCAAATCGCTCCTCAACAGTTTCCTCTGAATCTGAAAAATGGTTTCATTGTAATGTCCTTTGTCATCAACTCTGTGAAAACGAGTCTCACGTCGCAAGGGCCACCTTGGAGTTAAAAGTCCTTTATAACAATTTTGCACAGCGTAAACCAATAGGAACCCATAGCATTTTTCACCATGGAGTATCCACTGTCATCCGGATGCCAAACTGAGTGATATATCAAAGCAAAAACTAAATTTGCACTTTCCAATACAAATTAAAACTCAAAGAGTGGCTCTGGCGACATAAGACTCATTTTCACGGAGTGGGTCAGATTTGAAGTCGAGGCCCTGCCATACGCGTGCCAGCCTGCGTGTATTGATCTGAGCAGAGAAGCGGAAAATGATCGCATTTTGGGCTGTCCTGTATCGAGAAAATTGGTGCTACGCAAGAACGGTATGTTAGATTTTCACAAAATTGGTATTTGCAAAGAGTTACTGAAAAAACCTAAAGGCTCAGATTGTGAATAAAATGCACTGGAGCAATATGGAAAAATTGTTCGGATATAAATTATTGATCAACCCAAATCTTGTATTAGAGATGTCTCTAGACATTGCACTGAAATCTTCGATTCAACTTTTTACAACATGATCGTTTAGACATAGCGGAAACCATGTGATATTGAAGAGCTCCGTCCGTTTTGGATTGATTACTTCATTTTGGGTTGTAAAAGGATTGTGTTCCACTGTTGTCATTCCATTTTTACCTGATGTTAGCTCTGGGATGCCACACGTATCGGTTTTTAGTTCCCCTCCTCTTTATCCATGGAGTAAAGACACAGGAGTTTGAACTGCCCAGGCTACAACATCTAATTACCGCTTTACGCACCAGAACGCAGCGAATGCTTACTACACACTACCTGTTTCACAACCATAAGCTCCCTTTGTACCCCATGATAACCGCCGCAATATTTTGCTAGTAATCTGCATCCTGAAAACGTTGCGTCCTGCTGTAAAGGAAGTTGAATATTCATGCCATTGTTGGTGCATGATCATGATCTGGCAGCATCAGATTTAATGCTTCCTTTCTTCTGAAGTTATTTAGGGAGTATATAGCCAGGTTTTTTATGAGATTTTGTGCTTTATTTGAATCATTGAATTTACACCAAAAAGGTATTTTATGAGATATCATCACTCCTTGTGATGAAGCACCGCATTTTGTTTTTCGTGAACCTAACTGTCCTGTGGTGGTCAAGATGTTGTTGGCTAGTGTTAGCAAAATTCGTACAAAGACTTTGAAAACTCAAGTTTTGGAGTGACAAAAAATACAAATATTTCATGTTTAATGAAAAAGTGCATCGAAATCTTCAAAATTAGTCACGACGGTAAAAGTAAATCTCATGTTAATTTTTTTTAATTTCCTAGTCAGATATTTTTTTTATTCCCCGGTCACTGCAACAAGTTGCAGTTAATTGCAAAGAAAACAGCACAAATATTGCTACAATATTACAAGCCCCACTTGTCCAGCTAAGCCGCAGCCAGAAATAAGGGCGGTGATGATCATGAAGCTCTTTAATGTGCCTTTAATGTGTACTCCTGTGTTGTTCCCCTTGACATAAATGATCTCCATTTATATTTTGAAACCTTATACATGCTCACCATGCGGGTGACACTTTTGTTTTGAGCAGAACAGGTCCAGCAGTGACATTGTAGACACCTATACGAATATCCAGTGTTCAGATCAAACCAACTTTCCTGTCATCAAGCTTAGAGTAACTGCCAGTGACGTAAGGGGGTGGGGTACGGTCCACGCCCCTGGGACTATGCCCCCTGTGCCATCTCCCCCACTAAGAAATAAATAAGGGAAAAGCTGCTGATGGTCAGTGTTTTTATTGTGACTGAGCCCACTTAGTGTCCCCCTTTAGAAAATGAGGACCCCAAATTAAGTGCCTCAACCCTGACAAATGTACCCATGGCCCAGTTATGGCATTAATAACGGTACTAAAGCGTAAAAAACGAGACAGCTTGTAGATATAGAGTAATAAAAAACATTGAATTAAAAAAAACCCCTGAAATTTCAAGGATGCGAGACTGAATGTGAAAACAAAGCATGATGTCAGTTTTGTTTTGAGAGAGTGCCGAAAGACAAGACATCTGAAAAGTAGTGTATTGAAATTGGACGAGATCACGCCATAGTAATTTACAAGGTTCCAGTGTTGGACCGCATAAATAAACAGAGGAACTACCGGATCGCGAGCACGATCACTTGCTCTCTTGTTTGTGCACAAATTACAACGAGGCGGCTTATGCTCATGCTCATGCTCACGAGAATTTCTCGTCTCTGTAGATTCCGCAACCACCACCCTCGAAGAAAGCCAGCTCAGTCTGTCATAAACGCGTTTTAGATATGTTTTGTTAAAATAATTATGTTTTCCTAGCTTACCAAATGGTACTCACTGAGTGTCCTTATGTGAGGTCGCATTACCGGACCCATGTCCATAGCTATATCGGATTTGTAATCTTCAGTTTTAGAGAATACAATGTAGGCCTACATTTCGTTCCTCCAAGTTGGGTGATTTCAATCATCAGATCGCTCTTTGGGGCTCTGGGACAGGCTAATCGCCTTCATAATAACTTTGTAAAGGAAGTACAGACATTGCGAAGCCTTGTGCATCGATTGGTGCCTTAACGCATGTATACATTCAATATACTCTCGTCACGCTCACGAGCATCTATTGGTCGCGTTATATTTTCAAGCAATTCCAATCAAAATAAAGCATCCGTGAAATTACGCATGCGTCCTGAAGATACGAGCCCGTTGTAGGGCAAAACATTTTTTTGTATAGGGGTGGGGGACGAGTGACAGGACGAACTTTGATGTTTACTGACGGAAGACTTCGCCGATGGGATCAGTCTAGAGAGAAACGCTTCAGCCCTGCCAGTCGTGCGTTCAACACCCGAAGAGTAGCCACGCAAGGCTGCGCTTCGTTAACCTCGGGCGTGGGACGGCATATTTTCGTGCAATTCGTGAAAAGGCATTCAATTAAAGTGGATCTCGATTAATACGAACCCCCTTATTATATTACCAACATTTTATTTATTGTTTTCACATTTGGACATGGCCGAAGGAGTTCAATCCCGCATTGATTACGAACGCGTAATAATGAGGTAACGTAATATGCAGTTACACACTTACACCGGAAAAACTTCAAACGGTTGCTTGAAATGGTTTTCATTATAATTAATCACTTAAGGCTGATGAAATTATCTTGTGTGGTATAACAAATGCCCAGGGAAATCACAGATTAATTGCTCCTCTTTTTCCCCACAGTAACGACGTTTCGTCCGTATAAAATACAGGCCGTCTTTACTAGCCTGCCATCATTTGTGATTTCTTGCCGGCAGTGGTATTTGGTAGACCGATCTGACACAGAGAGCAGCTCCGGAAGTAAGTTGATCTTTTCATATCTTAATGAACCCGTGAACATAATAAGCCTGGTTGGCGATTGCGTGCTGTGATAATAAGACATGCATTCAATATTAGACTGATTTTTGTTCAGTATGAATTCAAATAGAAGCCTTTGCCCATTCAGAGATGTTAGCTATCGTGACTTGCCAAAGTTCTTGAGTTTTAATGCTCCGTCTGAAGTGGTAATCTTCTCATTGGGTGGTTGCAGAATAATATTGGGCACATGCCATCGGCAGGGTGAGCAAGGGTGACTCGTTCCTGAAAGACTACCATCCTACTCATATAATATCCTAGCTCATTGGTTCACTGCTGTGCAATTGCTGATAAAGATATGGGTGCTGAATTCTGGATAAATCCTACAGAAGCAGCAGTTCGGCACTCTTTCATGTGAATATATTAGTGTGCGTATGGCTGAATCTTTTTGCTTGTCTATATGTGAATTACTGATTTAATTACTGGGCGCAAATGAAAAGTTAAGAGCTTTTGCTGAAAGAAACCACCACTTTATTTCGGTTCCTTCCACACGTTCTCAGTCCTGGTCTCCATCTTACTTTCATTGTCGTGCTAGTTCATGCTTGGGCCAAAATCTCTGCTCTTTTTTGTTAATCATTATTTTCTACTCCTGTACTGCCTTGCAAAGTTTCTAGCGCATATTGGATCTCTGTGGGTCAAAATGTAAAGCTGGAATTCTACGATAATTATCAGTTTTTAATTTTAAAAAATTACATCGCAGTACTGCACGGTTGATAAAACTCCACACTTCGTCGACATCACGTTATGAGCATGAATTTGTGTGTGCTCTAAAAGGATGATAATCCGAGACAATCCGAAGCAACAAAAGACAAAATGTCTTATTGGATTCCTCAATAAAAGCGTCCTGGGGTTTTACTGGCTTATCATGGGATTCTCCCAAACCCATCATTTCATCAAGAAGCCAAAGCCTGGTGTTTATTTTTATCTTACCCACAGATGGATTTCAAGGCTATTTTGGGGGTTTGTTTGGCCGTCCTGGCAATTCTCGTTGCATCGTCTTCAGCCGAAGAGAATTCACAAGACGAGATTGAAGAATACCTGAACACATCAATGAGCACTGCCGACAAGAGAGGAACTGGAAACCAGAGATTTAAACGTAAGATATTTGCCCAAATTTTCGTGGAAGGGAAGTCCTTACTTTAAAAAAAAGTTTTCCCCCTACTGTTATTTCATAAGACTTTAACCTCTTCCCCTGTCACAAATAGCGAAAGTTAGAAATTTTTGCATATTTCCACCACAAAATGATTACAAATTGTGCTATTGTGAGAAATGGAAACTTCCCAGGTTACAGATATTATTGTTTGATTGATTCATAAGCTGTTGAGCGAGGGAAAGATATAAGTGGAAGTGTCCTCGAAGTGAGGATGGCTGTTAATAAAAGTGTTCATTGCTGGGATCACTCAGTTTTCCTGTCATTGCACTTGCAACGAATACACAAAGCAGTTTTAAAAATCAACTATAATTTCACTTGGCAAGTGGCTCAAAGGCATTTATATGCTGCAGTATACATGCGGCTACTGTCTGGCGATGTTACCAGACCAGCCTACTTCAATCAGCCTGACTAGCCTCGATTCAGTATCGCGTGCTCATGTGAACAAGTTCTCGAGTTAGCAAGCGGAAGGAGTGGTGTGGACATAGGGAATGTAGTGACGTCACTTCGTACGGTTAATGGCCTGCAATTGTAAAATTTGCCTTCATGCAACTTTTTACTTTGATATTTGTAGCCTGCAGGCATCCACTATACAAGAGTAGGGTACGCTGTCGGTGTGACGTCACAAAAAGTGTTCGAGACAGAAGATACATGCGGTGTGTCAAAGTGAAACGCTTTTCTGAGGAATAAGGTAACAGGGCGTACGACTCTACGTATTTGTTTCCTTTTACATTGTTTTTTTTCCAGTTGTGCACTAAGTCTTGATAATGGCATTTTGCAAAATTTTTACCGAATCAGTTTCTGTTAAATCAAGCAAAATATTATTGTTTCCCTGTTTATTCACAGAGCCTTTGAGCAGGGAACAACTTGGATGTTTTTGTCAGTGAAATGAGCGGGAACTGTCTCGACTGGGGATAGTTTCAGCTACCAAAAGATTCTGCTTACCAAACTGCGCTCAATGCAGTTCAATGAAAAGAAAGCCTGATGAAAAACTTGAAAAGGGACGTGTACGTTAATATACCGTTGCCGTCCATGAAGCTTAGTTGCCTGTAGTTCTTTAAGTTTTGGTATTTTCCAGTAAGTGGACTTTAAAAATAGTAGACGTCTTCATGCACAGCACTCGAAAGTGTGATACTTTTTAGGTTTATTTGACAAGTCGTTAAGGTGTGTCGAGATTTTAAATTGAGGTGAGGAAGTTGAGATTCTTTGGTCTCTAAAAAACATTTCTTATTATGTGCGTGCCTTGACAGCTTGGGAGCTGAAAGCATTTTTACGTAGCTCTTAAAATGCCTTATAAATCTTTGAATTTTTGTCCTGTTTTGCTAGTATCAAACAGATAAACAGAATGCAAGGAGTATCGTGAGTATATGAGGAACAGCATTTGGTGTGTAGAAGTGACCAAGCAAGGTCCTAATTTTTTTTAAAAGTGTTGCGTTTTTAAATTCATTTCAGAAAAATACACGAACTCTTATGTAGACTTCAAACCTCAAACAGGTTTTTAAAATGTCTCTTTTTTGAAATTCACATAGGCACGATCCCTTCGCCAAATTTGAATTGAAGGTGCGCAGTCTAAGTATTCGTACGGACTATGCTATGACTAAAAAACTCAGCGGGTACGTCCTACCTGTAGTTCTGGTGAAGTTTAGGAACTTTTTTCTCTTTCTTTTTAAACCACGTCAGTTACAATCTCTAACTCCTGTGAAAAGAAACTACATCAAGGGATTTGAAAGCGTTGAAAGCAAAATAATGTTCCTGCAGGAGTTTGTCAGCTCCACCAATCAAGATCCAAACAAAGATCTGCGATAACATACTCCAACATTAACGAAGAAAATGTACTTTGTGCTATTCGTCGGATTCTCTGTTAAATTCATTAAGAGTAGACTGAGACACCATGTAGTCTCGGTAGAAAATGAAAGGATAAAAAAATCAGTATTAACTTTCTGGTATGTTTACCCGAGGTAAAAAAAAAGTCTAAAATGTCAATCAATGGTTCAAAGTTTATTCAAGTCTGACTGTCTGCAGTAAAATCCACCGTTAATAGGAGTGTATCGAAGAAAGAAGAGTGAGTCCGCTGTATTACACAAGTATGTCCCACAGTTTCAGCTAATCAACCGGTTCATCAAATGAAATCAGCTCGGCCCACTCACCCACAGCCCCGCCAATAGGACGGGGGGGGGTAATTCATTTTCCAGACAACGGTGCAAGCACAACCAAGAGGCTGCCGAAGGAACGCAATTACGACGATCATGCTGCGAAACTGAGACCAATAAAATATATTGCAACTGACAGTCAAAAAAGACGTATACCAGTGGGGGATATTTTCATGCTGAGGGGAAAGCAGAAGTTCTGATAAAAGACCGGAATGTGGAGGAAAACTCATTCTCAACATATCGGCAACATTGGCTGCGAAATTCGACGCAATCAAATATTAAACATTGGAGCCAATAGAGACTTGTTATCCTTTGAAAAGTGATTTCCCTCAAGCGCTCGCTCCTGGTAAGAAAAAATGCTGAAAGACGGCACTGTTAAGAATGCTTAAGGTAAATTTGAAAAGCAATCGGTGCTAATTCATTAATGAAAGTGAGATAATGTGCACTGCGTTGATTTGCTGGTTTACAAACAAAATCCATGAACTGTGCGTGGCCCCTTAGCTTTATACTACAGTAGGAACTGACTCCGATATCAAAATCTCAAAAGCTGATAAACACTGCCAAATGGGTTTATGGAGTGAATTCAATGCGTTTCTCCCGTTTTCAAAACACTGCAAACATCTATAAAATTCTGAAAATCTGGTACTAATCAGTTTTTAAATCCCAAACGATGCTTGGAAGCCGAACGTATTCTTGTTGCTAACTCCTTCTGCCAAACGTTTGCTCTTAGAAAGGTGCCATAATTGTTTGACTTTTTTGCCCGAAACATTTCTTGTTACTGTTTTGTTTTATTTGGTATCTTTTCAACGACATTCGCTTACATTCTTTTATAATTCTTCCCACATTTGTTATAGTGCATTATTATGGCCAGATGTTTTTAATGTCATTACGGACAAGAATGCTTTTGGGCTGTTGAAAAATTGAGCCGCTTATTGAAACGTGGGTGGGTAAAACGTAGTGCTCTACCACGTTTTTGATTAGAGTTGGTAATGAAAGGTCACTGACCTTGATATTCGGATGCAACCGCATCATCTTCAAATTTGTAACGTTACGGTACAGAAGCATGCCAACATTTGGCGGCAGAATTTCCCGTTTGGATCTGGGCTGCTATGTTTCCAGATTGGGGCATATTGTTTATGTTTTCTTAATCTCAAAAAATCCTGTTTTATGAGAGATGACGAAAAACTTTGTAACAAACTTGGAGACCGCATGATTAAACACCCGAGTCCCTCGATGCTCCAATTTAGAAACTAAAGTGATCGGTATGCATGTATTATATACAGTCGATATTCTTCAACATGCAAGGTGGACACTTTTTAGCAAGAGGGAAGACGAAACAACCAAAGCCAATGGGAAAACACACGTAGTTTTATTTATATCACCAATTGCATGTTGTGACTGTTATATCGGTTTCGCTGTTCGTAGCAACAAAACAATCATTTTCAGATTTTTGTTTTCAATTAAGGGATGGAGATAATCGTCTCCAACAGCATGCTACCCAGAGGGCTGCATATGTTCATTTTTGCTGATTAATTTCCCACGCTTCTTTAGGCACCACCGATCATGCATACCTTCCAGCGTTAGCTATAAACATCTTAATTTCCGCGAGGAGGTTCAGACACTTCCAAAACATTTTCAGAAAACGTCTAAATTCCTCAACGATTTACAACATCGGAATTAAGGTAAGAATTCTTACATAGAGCGGATTTACTCCTTTTGTTCGTCTGAAGTCAACTTGTTTTGGTCAGGATTTGTCTTAATTCCTCCTCCGCAAAATCCTATTCCATCGATTACACGTCATCAGTCATGGTCTGGTCGGGGTCATGGTTGGCAATTCATGACGATATGTGTAGTGCTGCTATTTTGAACTCAAAACAAAGCCACGGTTTAGAAGCCTGCAGTCGCTTCCTGTTATCATCCCACTGACTACGCTTCGCTCGTTTTACCAAATGATGACGTTAAAGTTTTACTAGGGTAAACAGTTGTGCAGAAATCATAAGTACAATTGGATGAGCCACGTGTAATTAAGACAACGTAAGAAGTTGATCAAAAACTGGCTTGCAAATTATGAAAACGTTCTGTCATTTACCTATCCCCTTTATTTCTTCAAAGTCTGATTGTTGAAAGGAAGGTGACATGGCTTGGAGCATATACGAGATGTGGCACGTGAACCCGTTGCAAGATGTCATTGACCGCGATCAGAAAGACTGCAGCTACTAATATTAAATAGCTTATTGATCCTGGCATTTTTTTCTTTCCTGTGAAAACAGATGTCTGTACAAAATCTAAAGGCTTTCACATTATGTGGAGAAGCGGTGACACTCTAAATGCAGCTAAAATTCGAATTTTGTTTTCAATGGTGTAGGCCTAGAATATTACTCCATTCCTTGATAATTTTGACCTTTTGGCCACTAAACCTAACAATTACAAACAAGCAATAACATTTGTGTAATTTGACTGTGTTACAGTGGCAGCATGAATTTTGGAGCTCTAGGAGCCTTGGTCCTGGTTGTCACCTTTTTGATTGCTGCAAATGGCGAGCCGCTGGCTGACTCTGGGTACGAGCCCGTCCTCTACGATGACCCCGTGAAGAAAAGGGCTGCATTTTTCGAGGATGGCTATTTCAGCAAGAGGGGAACTGGCATGAGATTTCGAAGTAAGCTTACCCTGCGCTCTCAAGGTCTATTTTTTGCAGATCCCATGCATTTCTGTTTGAAAGGGACTTTTTTCCTGCCCCCTTCTAAAATCGTATCCAAAACTATCACACACTTAGCTACAATACTTTACATGATCCAGCATCTGCCATTTGACCATAGCTGATCGTATACTTAGACTTTCAAATTTGTTGGTATTCTCCACAAGTTTTGCTGATGCATGGGCGACTGGAGCAAGTGTCACCATCAACTTTTGTACGTGGTCGTATTAATTAAACAGGTTCTGGTGTTTTTTCCTTTGAAATCATTTGCATCTGCAGGTAATAGTTTTTAGGTTTAGCTATATACAACAATTTTTTTACCTCTCCTTACGACGATCAAAACACGCTGAGAGAAACCTAGATTTTAAAAGTGTGGCCATCTTCAAAACTTCCATTTTGCATTTTGACAAGATCTATGCACAAGAATGTTCCATGGCGTATTGCTGCATTTCTGAACGTGAATTACGAGGTCAAACACCACGAATTTCTCCGATAAACGATTTCTCCTGACTAAACTCTTTCTATTCTCCAAATATTTCAGGATGTATAAATCCCGTGACCAGGGAGAAATGCAGGTGCGACCGCTATAGAAAGGGGCCCCAGTACATTCACTGCCGTAAATAGTATACGCTGCCTTGCGATTGCGTCTAAACAATTCTTGAACAATTTGAAGGTATGTTTATTGAATTGTTCGAATTTTTCGACGAGCAATCTTATTACAAACCTCTGGACTTTCACATGCCATAAGTGATTTCAGTCCTAAATTGTTTATTTTCTGCGCATTGACAAGTTGAGGAAGGATCTCAGAAAAGAAAACCTAGTTTCAAAGTGAAGCAAGTTTCTGGGAGCTCAGCCTTCGAGATCGAATTCCCGATCGAGCTTCAGGCACAGCGATGCAAGTTTATAAAAAATAATTATATTCTTATTGAACAAAATACAATTAGAATGAACCTGCCGTTTACAATGCAGAAGTGTAAAGCCACAGACGCACAATGTTAAAGTCTTCACATCAAAGACATCCACAAAATCAATGAGGCCGAGTAATTAGTGTAAGGGACTTGTGCAACCTCGTTTCCTTTTTACTTACTTTGTATTTAGAATATTTATTGTTCAGTACTGCAAACTGTCTTGTTTTCTGTCTGCAGGTTCCACATGCAGCCACTAGTTACGCTTCTTTAATAGTGTTCTCCATGTCTGTCAACACCTTATATGAATGCCATTCATCAGACTTTAATGAGAGAAGCCATTATGCACGCAACACACAGCTAGCTCCGCGCTAATTTAGCATAGAGGAATAAATAGTGTCCTTTACAAAGGCAAAGCATTCGAGTTTCTCCCAAAATGGTATCAAAATCGGAAATCGCTTTTACAATATCTCCTTGGTGCCAATTTTGATGGCTATTAAAATAGTCAAAAGATGAGAAATAATGGATTTTGTCTGCTAGACAGTATTTGTAGGTTTATTATAAGGGGTGCGATATTTAAGATTGTGATATGGGTTTATGGAGTGAATTGAGTGCGTTTCTCCCGTTTTCAAAAATCACGAAAATCTATAAAATTCTGAAAATTTGGCACTAATCAGTTTTTAAATCCCAAACGATGCTTCAAGCGAATTCTTTCCGCTCAGTGTTGTAGTCAAGACATCGTAAGACCTTCCCAGACCCAACAAGACCGTCGCAAGACCAACACAAGACCCTAGTCTGAATTCAAGTCGCATATTAATGTGAACTGCAAAAAAAAACAAACACTCCTTTGTCATTGTTTGCACAAAAACTTGTGACTGTCTTGTGAATGGTCTTCTAAAAGGTCTTGCCAACCGTTCTTTGTAAATACTCCGATTAGAAGGAGGTTGCGCCTAAAACAATCCAATGAGACTTTGCCCTTGCATTCAAGGCGTCAATGAACTCAATTAAGTCCTGGAGCATGATTGAAAAATAAAAAAAGAACATTTCTCTTCTCCTTGACGGGAAGGAATCACAGGAATTCAATTGTGTAACCTCATATTAAGTATTAATTTGAAAGAAGACTTCATAAGACAAGGATACTGAATATTTTTTTCGCAGTCGGAAGGTGATCCAATTATAAGTCAAGCTTTTGATTGATTACTTCCTTAATGGTCTAAGATCTTAGGAAACATTCGTTTTCTTGTAAATGTATCGTCATGATGTAGTGCTTGAACTGATGGCATTTGGGGGAAAATAAAGAAAAGATACATTTTTTTCTGAAAATGATTTTTAGGCATGCGTTTGTTTTGGTTCTGATAGCCCAAGACAGTGGACATCTTCACCCGTAGCGCTAATGAACTCATCACTAATAAAATATTGATCTGCAACACTCTGTTGCCTAGCGTGAAGAGCATGTCAGGGGAGACAGACTCGCAGCCCCCATTTCCTGCCCCCTTGTTCTTATCAACTGCCCGTTCCAAGCTTGTAAACTTTCTACAGAGCGCTTGGAGCGTAGGCGAAGAAGATTACGCTTCGCACGAACTTTCCGTGGATTCAATAACCACCAGCCGGCATTTGACACAGTGAATTGAGGTCTGTGAAAAGGATCTGATGTACCTTACACTTACCAGTACAACACAATATCACTGCCATAATTCGAACTTACTACGGCAACTCAGCGGGTGGGGACGTCGGGAACTTTTGGGACGGGGGTTGTGTGAGAAATCAACGACCAGCAGAGCTGTTACGCCAGGCCGCGTGCTCACGTCAAATTAATATTTTCACCGCGGGCCTTATTGTGAGGTTTGCGATCGTCGCGGTACAGCGACGTTCGTTACTCAAGCGTGCACGTTACGAAATGCATAAAAATCATTGCGTTTTGATACTGGATATTCACAACGCCTAGGAGATCTTACATAGCACACATCTCTGTCTCTTGGAAAGCTGAAGGCAAGTTCGAGGTAAGAAATCCAAGAAAGTATTCCTTTTATTTGATACTGTCAACCTGACCTTGTTGGTCTGTTTTGTTCCTCCATAGGCGCAAGAATGCCAAAAGTAACAGTTAATTCAGCAATACAACGCATCACAAATACATGTGTAACAACTGGATAGGGAAGTGGTTTTCAGATGAAGTATTTCAAAGCGCAGTTGCCTTGGTCCATCAAGCAAAGGCCTTGGCCAAAAAAACATTTCTGAAACCCAAGGCTTCCCATACATATGAAGACATTAAATCCCAAATAAGCAAAGAAAGAAGTTTCTGATCATCTTTAAATTGCATAATATCCCAAAACAATAGAGTATACTGAATGAACTGATGTAACTATTGGCCGATATCATGTCTAACCTCGACCAGGTGTCTAGCATGAGTCCCAAGTGTCTTCTAGCTCTGGCCCTTGTGGCGGCTCTGGTCGCTTTCGTCAGCCCGTTCTACATCAACGAGGACTTGGACGACGACGACGACGAAGGAGGTGCCGTGGAGGAGCTGGAGGCGCAGGCCTTGCCGCTGTTGCTGCAGAAGAGGGGCAGGGGATTTCGCTACCACCGTAAGTACGCCGTATTGGAGCATTACAAACAGCCTGGGAAGTACAAATCCTGTGGGGGCTCGCTCCCTACAGTGGTGCACGGGGAAGAATGAGTCGCTACGCGTGATGCCACAGAGTATAATTCAGTAAGAACGGCCAGGCAGCTGTGCATGGCTGTTACGCTTTCCAAAATCAAAGATATTGTGGCTGTTGATTACTCTGGCGATGTTTGGCCCAAGCTTGGTTGAAATTCTCGGACAAATGCGTCCCAATTGTTTATCAGATTCTTCGTGAATAGCTGCTTTAAATTTCAGTTAGTCTAGAAATGGTATCTCACTGTTACTTATCTGTCAGACCGACGTGGTTGTTTGTATGTTTGTCTGCATTAACTGTATAGCTTAATTTCGGAACATAAGTTTGTGCCAGTTATTGTCTGTTAGAACGTCTTATCCCGACGTTTTTATAGAACCTGTTGAATTATTCAGAGTGTGATATCTTGTCTTTCTTATGTGATAATAATGTAATGGTGGCGCTGAGGGGCCTGGCGGTGGTTCTGATGCAGTAGTGGCACACTGTTGATGATTATAAAGCTTTGGTTGATCTTTGACGCTATTCTACGTAGCAGTCCGAAAACCTTAACTGTCACCACTCGTGCGACATCTCCCTTCAAATCACTACGAAGGTGCTTCTTTGCGTTTGGAATCAGCAAAGCCTTTAGTTTATTTCACTGGCATATTATTTGAGCTTGTGCTTGTATCTTCGCGTGACCCCGCAGTAAATAGCAAAGATTATAATATTGTGTTGAGGCGGTAAATACACCGACTTGAATAAACCTTTTGCGATTTGAATAAAATCTGGTACATTGTGCTATCTTATTTCACATCAACATAACAATTCGAATTCCCCCAGTTAAAACACTGTTGCTATACCTCGTGATTTTGGGCAAGCTTTTGCATAGCAACCACTATCTCTGGAATGGGCTGGTTCCTATGTGCCCTCCCTATCCATTAAAAACAGTGTATGATGCAAGGCGTCTCTTATGTAACTAAGCAAAAGCTTGCCCCGTATCACGAGGTATGGCAACAGTGTCTTTAGTAGGAAGAATTCAATTTATGTTCATGTGAAATTGGAGAACTCCGTGTACCAGATTTTGTCCTAAGGCTACTCGCAAAAGGTATTCAGCTGTTGATCAAGAATATGACTCATGAGATGTCGTGATAAAAGCTCCCTCTCTTGTTCCTGCACAAATCAGAGTGCATCGAATTCAAAGGTTAAGTATATTCAGGTTCTTCCTAACTCTGAGGTCTTAACCCAAGGAATGAGTAAAAGGTCAGCAAACGAGAAATTTAAAGCGCATGTTACTTTCCTTTCAATTGTAAAAGTTACACATAAATGGACATGTCAATTTACAAAAAAAGAATCTATTTTGAATTTTAAAGTCGATGAAAACAATTTGAGGGAAACAACTAATACAAATTCTCTTACATAAGTTTATTGAAAATACTTCATTGGAATGATTACTTTGAGATACAATATTTTTGTTGTCTACAGGCTGTGTTGACCCAGAGACCGGGAAACGCTGTATTTGTGACAGGACCAAGACCAAATATCACAATATTCGTGGTGGTTGCAAGAACTAGACAGGTAAATAGACTGTGCAAGGGGGCATGGTTTCGGATCGTCAAAAGGGGGGCGTTCAGTAAAAAAAACCACACTATTTCCACTCGTAGCTTAACTAAGGGCACAATGGGGCACGGAAAAATCTCTTTAAAAACAAATTTAAGAAAAATATATCTTGGAAAATTTATTTGAAAATTATTCTAATGGGTTTTCGTAGGCTAACAATAGCAAGCCATCCTTTTTTTAAGCTTTGTGTTTGACATGGTGTTGAAATGAACGCCTTGTCTTCAATGACGGCGGAGCACTCAGAATTTCTTGTTTGAGAGAGCCGACACAACTTACCTAAATTCCCAATGATTTTTTCACCCCCAAAGAGCACAAAATGCCCGAGCTGTTTTCCCTTCGGCTTTGCCACAAGGAATGAGATTTGCAGATATACCTGAGATAGTTGTTTAAGGTGTAAATTGTGTCTTCGCGAGTCAGAGACTGAAAACAACAACAAAAATAAAACAAACATACACACACCCCAACAAACAAATAAACAAACAAACAAAACCTGGAGGGAGGCTCAAGCCACACCCTCCCGCCACGGCACCCTCCGAGTGTGCCAGTACTTAACCATAGAGGAAGGGCGCAGAAGGAGTTGCAACTCTGGCACTTCAAAGTGTTCAATGATCGTCGCCGCTGAATCAAACGAGTATCAGAAAACATTCCCAAAATGCCTGATTACTGCCGGTATCGTAGCTGGACAAGCGGGACCAGTAGTATCTTCGCAATACTTAAATACAAATTATCGATTTGACCAGGAAATAGAGAGAGAAAAATCCCCGATATTAGACCTAGTTTTGCCATCGTAAATAAACTTTTTAAATCTTGATACACTGTTCCGTTATCCATGCAAAATTTGTAATTTTGCTCTCCCTCCAATAAATACATCAGTGTTCCAAGACTTGGTACGAATTTGGCTAAGTCTGGCCAACAAAATGTTGACTTTCACTGGAAGCTAAGTTCGTAAGTAACAAAATGCGCTATTTCACCACGGGGAGTAATCGTGAAATTTCATAAAACACGCCTTTGTCCTTTTTTGGCCTTCCTCTATAGCCCGTGCGTGTAACCTGAAAAGGGTCAATAAGGCCAACGAGGAGCAAACGGTCTTCACAGTTCAAAGCCTTCCTTTTCATTGGACACATTGGAGTCATCGTAGTACACTGTTTCTAAATTTTGAATTGTTTTCGGGATTTAAGTACAAGGCGATTGTTTTCTTGCAGGAATTTCCTTCTCGTGAACTCCTTCCTTCTTCAACGGCAGTGAATACCATTTTTTCTTCGCGGGTTCTTTGCCGCCTGTCGAGTGATGCTTCAACTTGAGCAACTTTTACAGCCAAAGATGAGATATCCAGGGGAATGGGACCAGCGGAGGCCAAGTCCCCTCCAAGAGTGGCAATCTGTACTGCAATGAATACGAGAGGGTTTTTTCAGTTGTTTTGTTTCCCTTCTTCCCCACAGTATGCAAAATACCAAAAGTTAAGCCTCACTTCTTACAAAGGCTATAAAATGCTTTCATAAAGCAATTCTTGATCTCCGAACACCCTGCCCTTTCCTAAAAAAAAATAAATAAATAAGTAAAAAAAAAACCACTAAAAATTTGTTTGGAGATGCCGCTCTTACCCAAAGTGCCCCGATTATGTACTAATGTCGTACAACGAAAACATATATAACGAGATCCTGACTTTTCTTGAATTCCGAAAGACCCTGAGTATTAGTGGACATTTTAGTTACAACCAAGGCACATTGACAACCGTTTCTAGGACAGACAACCTTCTTGGTGTCTCCGACTGTACTGCGTCACTCGAAGACTTGTTCGTACATTCCAAAATATCAGGCTGCATGAATATTAATGGCCAAATTGTTTTGAATGAAGATAAAACAACCCTCGACTGAAAGCAATCGATATTGACATGACTTAAATTCTTGATTTTTTTGTCTCCTTTGTCATGTTAAACATTTGTTTTTGAGTGCAGTTCCTTAGTAATATTGGCAAATGTTTATGACTTATTGATTCTCTGGTATATTTTTGAAATTTTGTATAACTAGGAATATAGGGGAGATTTTTGAATAGCTCTCAGAAATTTAGAAGATTGCCAAGAAAACAGTCCATCGCCGAAACACTTCTGTCAAACTTTAGAATGTATTCCTGTGAAATGTGATTTTTGAAGATGGAATGATAACTGTTAACATTAAAGCATCGTAATTCTCGATTTAAATTAAACAAAATGGCACGGTGGTTGTGTTGTGTTTCTGCTTGGCTAGCCTGTCGCCAAAAAGTAAAACAAAACGAAAAAAGGAGTGCTAATTTAACCCTAAAAGAGCTGGGTTATTATAAGCCCCTCTCACAGCCGGAAAGGGGATGATTCTGCCCCCTCTAAGAACTCTGCTGTACAAAGCTTGATTGTTTTTTTTCTTTTAATCTGATCTTCATGTACAAACACCCCTTCTCATTACAAATGTGAAGTTTGTTCTCAATCAGAGCTATGGTTCGGTTGTTTTGTTTTTGAATTTCTTTGCTAAATGCGTTCCAGTACGCGTGCATTGAGTACCTCCGTTGGAAGAAGTATACATTTGAGCTGACCCGTCTCGGGAAAATACGCACTGCACGAGAAAAGTATGTTCGATATTTGAAAAAATAGTGTCAAAATAACTGCAAAGAGTTAGTCTAAAAACTCCCTAAGATTAAACTCCTGAAAAAAAGAAGAATTGTGTTAAAGAATTGTGTTGATATCAGAAAAAAATGTCAAGGGGAGGGGTCGGACTCTGGGGTTAAATCCTCCAAATTGTGCTATGATTAAATCTGTATGGTTCAGACACGCGACACATATGCTACGGCACGATAAGGCTCGTGCTCGCTTAGTTGGTTAGGTCACGCATGCGCACTGGGTTATATTATCAAAGTGAACTGGAGCAGACGACGTTTGGTATATTTTCTCCCAAAAAAAGGCCCCAAAACTGACGATTTGCAGACGCTTGTGGTACGCTATGTGTTAAATGGTGTCTGGATAGAAATAGTTATCAGCCAAACAGCTGTGTCGTGCGCAGGCCCATCGTCACGCATGCTTTGTCGGCTGATTTTATTCTACCTCAATGTCTGCCAGGCAGTGATTTTTGCCCAACGACTCCGTGACACGTATATAGTGTCAAATACCGGCTTCCAGGTCTCTGCGACGTTGTCAAAAATATCTTGATGACAATAATTACCTTTTGTTTTCGATAAGCTGTTGCAAAAACTTGCAAGGGATAAGGTAACAGGCCATGAGTAATCCTCATTGTTTCTCTTTTCTTTTCTTCCTCCTTCAAATGAATGGTGCACTGATTATTCTGATAAGGTCGAAAGCCAAGTATGATTTCTTACAACAAAATGTACACACAATAGTTAGAGATTTCTAATTAAGCTGGGGCAGGGGGAGGGTCAAAAGAGAAACGCCGAGAGGGTCATTTGGGCAATGGATGCCGACCCTCAAAATACAGGCATCCGGGGGACTCATTTTGCCAGCTGACTGTTCAGACTGTGAAGGTAAACTTTCCTGGTTGAAAGTATCTGTGAAAGAACTACGTGTCCCGTCGTCAAAAACTGAAACAACCATGTCGCCAAAAAGAGAACATTTTTGTCAGCATAATTGTAGGCCTTTCATTCCTTGACTGGAATGGATTGCCTACAGTTGCAGGCCTATATTTTGTTGTCAATTGCCTATAGGTTGCTTAATTGCTTAATTTAAGCGAAAATAAAACAACATGCACTCAATTAATTCTGAAATTTTCCAACGTATTTCTTTCCAACGGAACAGAAATTCCACAAGAAATAGGCAATAGATTTCACGGCAAAAAGACGTCAGTATTTGAAGTCTCGGTATTTTAAAATTGCTCTCCCTGTGTTAAAAGTAATGGTCGTTTCCTCCGAGATGACATCGCACTTATGACAATTACCTGGAAATATATAAGATATCAAAAATTAATACCCTTAAATTGCCCGAAAACATTAGACAAAATTGGGCACATGAACTCCATATGGAACTACGATATTGCATGGCCTTTTTAAAATGTAATTAGATGAGAATTGTTCTTGCTGTCATTTCTTCCTACAGCACATACCCCCCCCCGAATTAACACCGCCCCTCAGAAAAATCATGAATGCTAAGTCAAAAATCGCCAAGTTTTGCCAACTCCCCCCAAACAAACTTTACTCTCCTTCCCCGAAAATTTGGTTCCGAGAGCCTCCTTTAGTGAATATTAATGCGTTTGTGTCATTGTATCTCTCAAAGATGAAGTTAACCACTTTAATGAAGGTGCCTTCATCTAATTGGCCTATATGTTTCGTTTTTCTTAACTGTGGTTTGCCGGGTGAAGGGTGAATTTAGTCGAGCTTGACTTGTCAAGGTTAGTCGAGTCTTAATAAAAAGGTGCAATTCACACCTCACATCCCAGTCAAGGTGGGAGAGTGTGTCATTAAATTTGGCTTTAGAAACTCTTTCGAGTGCAGAAAGTGTGATAACGCAGCTGGCAGGGTCCGTCCACAGAGGCTGGTGAATCAGCGGGATGGCGGGAAGTTTGTCTCGCTTACAGTTGAAATGTGCTGTGCAGTGGCGTAAATTTGTGCCAGATATTGGGGGGATGGGGAACTTGAAAAGCTATGAAAATTTGGAGACCTGGGGGTGACACTATGATTCTATATAGAGGTCGATGTTCAGGATATTCATGTAGGCCTACATGTAATGATGTATGACATATTCGTAGCTTTCTTACATTGTTTCTCCTTTTTGGAGTAATATTGAATGCATTTATTCATTGGAGGTCTGAACATTTCTTAACAATCCTCTTCATGTTTTGCTCACCCCAAAGAGGTGTGGGTGTGTTCGAGGGGGCGTATTCAAGAGCCCATTCCCCCCTTCCAAAAGTGTGTGGGGTAAATATACCCTAATCCCTCGGGATCTACGTCCATGGTAGAGTGCTTCTCAAACGGTGCTATATGCCAGCCCCCCGGCTTCTTAATTTTCTATAAAAATTAGTCATTTATTTGAAGCCTTTAAAAATAAAGCTCCCGTCTTAGACCATGTGGCGTATTTTCAGCGGGAGGCACCCCAGTGACATTTGATCTACGTAAAAGAAACAGTCCATATGATTTGGGTTTCTCCTTGACAACTTCGTGCATCCCTTGGGTACCCGTCAGACATTTCCCCCCCGGAGTAACATCACTTGTCTTAGACCAAGAACCTTGATACACTTCTACATGACACCCCTCTCCATGTGCGAATATTTCCAGAACCAGTAACAAGGCAACTATAAATATAACTTTTGCCCCTTTCGTCAGCTCAATGTTGAATACTGTTCATGCTTCTCCCAGGCAGTCAAATGGCGTAGGAAATAGCTAAAGAAAAAGTGGTCTGAAGCACCAAAGGTCTCTACTTTAACGTCAGAGCTATGTAATCCCCCATCTAGTTCAACCTTTTGTTCGTACATAAAAAAAAATCACAGATCAAAGTTTCCAGAAATCGATACGTTCAACAAAATGAAAAGAATGGTGTCTTTGGAAAGAGTATGGCTACTGGAAATTGGGAAGCCGAAGTCACGGGCAGTGTCCAAATTTCTTGGCTGTGGATTTAAGCATGGAACTATTAAAAAACACAAAGAGTTAGAATGAAGTCCCTGCAGACCGTAATTCCATTAACTGCCCCAGTCGGCTCCATAGGCAAAGCGCAGTTACCGGCCCCAGTGTTGAAGACCCTAGACATTCTTTGTACACAGTGATCAACATCTGAAGCAAACTGTGGGACAAGGAGAACCCCCCGCCCTGTCTTTGAGTTGGTCATTGTTATACGGGTATCAGGAATTCTTTTTGGACAACTAGGGGAGAAGTGTTAAGTGACAATAGGCTGGAGTGTATATAGGGATTGGGCTTGTTGGGGGTACCCCTCTGTCCCATTTTGTGGCTGGTATAGCGATCGCCACCCCCAGGTAGTTGGTAACCCAGAGACTCGCTGTGGCATACTGGAGTAAACAAATGGTGGAAAAGATGCACGAAGGAGATGTGCAGTCTCTTCATTGGTCCTCAGAAATCAGCGAGTGATCCCCGCAGATGTGCTCAAAAATTCCAAATCGTCGATGGTTATTTGGCAAAAGTCGGACGTTTTTAAAGTGCGAGTCAGTTATGACATTTCACGTTTCTGGCCTCAGAGAACAAACACCCAAAATATGAACTGCGATATTTATGTCATAAGTCGCAATCCTAGTGGTTCCACGGTTAAAAGAAGGTGGAAACATGCCGCAGGGATGCATTTGACAACTTGGTGAGGTTTCATGCCAGGAAGGACATCTTCCCATGTTTTTGTTTTGTTTTGTGTGTGTGTGTTTTCTTCTGGACCAGCTACAGCCTTTCAGTTTTTCTTGTCGCGTATTTTTTGGAGAATTTGTATTAGTTGGTAATTCTGTTTATTGTCGAGAGAGACGTTTTGGGGATGTAAAGACGTAACCATACTTTCATTATCATTGGAATATCAGAGCAATCTCTAAAATTATCGAAATTTAAGTCCCCGATGACGGTGGTTTCCGTCTCATGGCGGCCATGTTGAACGTGCGAAAGTGTTACAGACAAACATGCAAGGTACCCACATATCTTTGCAAATGCAACTCCAAGCAGTCCTTATAGCCCGCAAATGGCGCGTAATTCGTTTTGTCCTTGCAGCACGTGCAGAGCTGGCGGTGGCCATCATTGACCCTTTTGATTTCTGCATGTGTCTACTCCTTGTGTTTAACAGCTCCATGATTTTAGTTATAGGCCTACACAAGTCTATGATAATGGTGGCAGCCACTTCCCACTGAGTCGTGTACAAGTTATGCTGCTACCCTATCTAACTAGGCCGTATATGAGGATCAGTTCACTTTGAACATACAGAGAAAAAAGTCCGACCGTTATCGAATCAGTACCGAGAACCAAAGAAAATTGGCACAATTCGCCTGAGCAGTTTAATATAAATAGAGAGACTGTGTGCATTTCTGAACCCGTGGTTGTAAGGCTTTATCCGAAGGCTTATATCTCTCCGTAGTTTTTCTTTTGTTGTTGTTGTTGAAGGTCATTTTCTGACAATTTCTAGAACATTATAAATATAGCCAGCGCATATATGCATGTCAGACACATAATTAAACTGCAAATAACAGTGTTGAAGCAAAGACTTAACTCTCAATGCCAAGGCCCTTTAGTCTAAAATCACCACTAATACAGAACATGTTAAATCATAATGGTACCGGTAGCTAACACATTCCAATGGATAATTCGGAAACAAGGGATTGGCCATCTGGGATTTGTTTTAGCTGTTTTTTTAATCATAAAAGGGATATGACAATGTAGACTGGTACCAGATTGCATTTGCTGACTCCGTTCTGGATATGATACACGTCATTTAAAGGTCGCGATCACTGTTGCAGCGACATGGGTTGTCAAAGGTCCACTGGACCTGAACTTCTAACTTTCTCACTTGAGGCACAGTTTTCTTGAAAAATCAAAGCCAGACAAATTATTAATTGAAAAATCTGTCTTGCAGAATGATGCTAGGCCTATTGCATTTTCAGCAAGGCAAGAATGCTGTTTTTGGACTACTAATACTGCGCAGACTCTTCTTAAGCAGACGAAGAGGTTTAATTTAACTATACAGGTTTGGCGGTTATCATTCCAAATCATCCCAAGACAGAATGCATAATGATAAAACCTGTTTACAGATTTCGACCATAGTGTGCGGAGGGTGGGATGACTTGTTTTATTTCCTAAAAATGACTGTCTCCAAATTCTTACCTAACAACAGAGGGGGTGCCATTTTCAAAGTACCAATACTTTTACTTCGTAAAGAAATGGCAAAATATCGGGGCGGGGCGCAGCTCCCCCCTTACACCAATCCCCAGCTGGATACGTGACTGGTTGCTGCTGAAATGCTATTTGAATAACTTACCCACATTTGACCGGAAAAATTATGTTGTCAGCTCAGCGAGAATCCTTATTTTCCAGTCGAATTTTATTCTGAAGAGTTTGCAGGTAACTGCCAGATGGCTTGTGTGTGAAATTAATGAACGTCGATTTTAGATCCATTTCTCTGATTCAAACTGACAATTGATCTAATTCACACTAATTATTATTTAATTCCACAATTCCTTCCTTTGATGCCGTGTCTAAGATTCCATTGTCACAATGTCGTGCAATACCAGAATATTTAAAAAGTTTTGTGGCAAATTTCTCTTTAATATTTCTTCAAGCAAAACAAATTTTCCGAAAAAAAGGGTAAGAGCACCAAAACGTCGATAGATCTTAAAGCGCTGTTAACACCATTCTTGCTTGGAAACACTGATCAAGTAATAATATGTCACGCAATGAGTCATCTTGTCACACACCATCGAGTTCTAGGGGGAAAAAAGCAAAACTTAGGAATATGTAGCAATTTCATAACGCGTAGATTGGCCAGCTTCGCAGCAGGTAAAGGCGTTAAAATAACTCTGATTGGATGGTTCAGCAAGGGCGATGGTTTGTAGATTGAAACGAAACAAAGAAAATTGACAGACTTTGGTGCGGGACATCAAGCCGGGTGCTCCCGGTCAAATTAAAGTATCGACTCGTGTCTTGCCTTGCGGTCGTTGCGGTCCGCTGCTGTTCTCGATGAAGCATGCAAGACTCCGAATGCTTATAAATCAGGGCCCGTTTTCAGCGTTGTGCACAATTTCTGGGGATTTGACATTCAGAATCTCTTGTCTTTGCAAACTTGAGCCACGAGTTTCACCACAGCCGAGAGTGCGTTGAAGGTAAGTGCTTCAGGGGTGCAGTTTGTTTTCTATTCTAATGCAAGCTCTTTGAAAGCGACAGTTGCAAGACACACAAAAGAAACGGTGCATATACAAGCGGGAAGTCGCGGGAACCTGGTGATATTTATCAGATATGTGAGACACTCACTTGGTTTAATATTTAGTGAGGAGTCCGGTTCTTTGTGGGATTCACATACAGCTTAATTGTGATTTGATGGATTTTGGAATCTCTTCTCTCGACGCAAGTGACAGACTATGTCACACTGTTTATCTATAAGCATAATTAAGGATTAATAAACGATTCCAGTGTTAAAAAAAGCCGCGTTGCTGCACACTTTTGAAGCCAGCTCGTAACCAGAAAGTGGAGACTTTGCTAGCCTTAAAAACTTTTTTGTTTTGTTTTGTGTTTTTTGTTTGTTTGTTTTTGTTTTATTTTGTTTTTGTTATTTTTTCATTCCGCGTGTTTCCGTGTTCAGTAAGTGTTACCACCGAACAAACGTGTGTTTGTGTATTGTTATTAACACTCAAACGTGTTTTTGTGTCGGAACGTATTGACACATCGGCACGTCTTTGTTTAAAGTTAAACATCACGATGGGTTTTGCTTTGGATTAACGCCACAACGCGTTCATGAAGTGTGTGAACAATTGATTTGGTGTTTTGTCAGACCAATGATTATTCTCAGCCAACAAACCTGATAATCAAATTCCTCCTTGATTATTGCATTCAATGTATTCTTTGTGCTGATATTAAGCAGTTTGCATTTGGGATCTGAAATGAATCCTGCCAAAAATCCTATATATTTGTCATTGACATCTGGCGTTTTCTTTTTTTTACATTTTGTCGGAAGGTAACAGAATTTAGACAAAACGCATGAACATTTTTGCTCTGTAAAATATAACAGAAAATCCATAAAAAACCGACAATTGGGCACATTAACAAATGACTGTTGCCGGTATGATGTGCTAGATTTCTGCAGATGTCATCACTGGAGTCAAACCCTGCTATTAATTGCCCATATAAACTTTGGTAAGATAAGTGTGCGAAGTGGGACACGCAGTACAATGTTTCTGTTCCTTATGCAACGCGACCAGGTATCCAGCATGAGTGCAAAGTGTCTTCTAGCTCTGGCCCTTGTGGCGGCTCTGGTCGCTTTCGTCAGCCCGTTCTACATCAACGAGGACTTGGACGACGACGAGGACGAAGGAGGTGCCGTGGAGGAGCTGGAGGCGCAGGCCTTGCCGCTGTTGCTGCAGAAGAGGGGCAGAGGAGTTCGCTACATCAGTAAGCCAGTTTCTACGTTTAGTTGAATTTGCCATTCATGTTTTATTAAAGGTAAACTGTAGACGTTATTGGAGGAAGAGATCAGAGCTCAAAAATCTTATCTCATCTGCTTATTGCAGCATACTCATTCTGCAAAGAAGTGAACGGCGTTTAGCAAGTGACATCCACGCTCTGCAAGTTTCACCTGAATTGGGCCTACTAATATGTTTCATTCTTATATATTAAAATCTTTGATAGACGCATTTCGGCTGAAATGATTTTTTCCCGTACTGGTTTGCTGCATTTAACTTCTGGGCAATTTCAATGGATACTCTGCACAGCTTTGCGCATAGGGACCCGACGTGCAGCTGCAAACGTGCATATGACAGGCGCCTTAAATATATTGCTGCTCTAAACCTGTGATTTTAAGGTTGGAAGTAAGTGGGGCAAGTTTAAAACACTCCCGCTAGAGAAAAATTCACATTGAGGAGACCACTAATATATATTCAACCCGCAACGGTGCACGCCTTCTCGCAGGATGCAAATTTAAATTCTGTGACGTCTTAGGAGGGTTAATATTGTACTTAATATCATACTTATATCTTATCTGTTTAGTCCTGAAGATTTTTTATGCATAACTGAATAGAAGTAAGTTGGCAGAGATGCACATTAATAACGTGTATCTCACCTCTTGGCATTGCTATCTATTGTGTAAACCTTCAATAACCGACCACAGCCAGGCTCCATTTCAAAATCCCAGGGTCAGATATATTTGTTTCTGGCAAAGGGATGATAGGCTCCTGAATACACCGCTGCAAGAACCCCCTCCCCTGGGAAATATTATTTCCCGGGGGAATTGTCTAAGATGCTTTCGGTTCTGTTAAAGGGCAATTCAAAATAAACTGGCCCCATTTTACTCGTATCACGAAATTAATCAACGTCTTAGGGGGAAGTCCCAACACACGAACAACCCTCTCCACCCCGCCTCTGAGACCCACGTGGAGTGGAGACGAACAATTAAACGTTGGATTCGAATTTCTCGTTTCACAGGATGTTTTGATGATTTTACTGGCGAGCCCTGCCAATGCGACAAGTCAAGATCCCGTAGCAAATTTGGCCGATGCCAGAAGTAGACAGGTCAGTGTGGCACTGAAAAAAATGCCGGGTGGAACTAGCCTGGTTTCCAAATTCAAACAACTCCTGAAAATGTATCATATGTATAATATAAACTATCAGGCCAGTAGTCATCACAGACGTGACGCAGTACTTGATGCATGGCGTATAATCTGTTAGTTAGTTAGTTAGTTAATTTGTTTGTTTGTTTGTGTGTTTGTTTGTAACTCCAAAGGTGACCGTAAACGCAAAGGTGACAGCAGGCATTCAAAGTGCAGTATGAAAAGGTCTCATAGGTAGAGTTGTCGGCATTGCTAGGCATGTAAAGAAATAAGAGAAGTATTACGTAGTTCATACATTTTGAACTTTCCAAAGTCAGAGTCTCGTTGACAGCTGTCAACGAGAGTTGGCTCGGACACATAGGGACATTTTGGGACATTTTCAAAAAGGAAACAGGATGTATTCCTTCTGTTTTCGTCTTTTGACTCTCATTTATTCAGAAACGTTTGGTCTTGGACTAGACTGGTATGCAACATTTGTGGTATAAGTATTTCGCGTGGGTCACCAGCTGCTGGACATAATCCCTTTGTGCGTATTGTCGGGAATCAATGTGTGCAGAATTTTTGTGTATTCAGGCTTTACAATACGTTTTGACAGTATCAACATATGAAAAGCACTATTATTTGTTTTATTTGGCAACTTACGTTCAAGTGGTGTTAGTTCGTGTTTTCATGTCTAATAGCTTAGTGTGAAACCCAACATTTTAAGAAAACTATAACAGCTATCTTCATTCATTGGTCTAAGTGCCCAGATGTTAAGACTTTATGCGTGCACGCGTCACACCCGAACAAAATAGAAAAAAAAGAAAGAAAAGAAAAAAATTAAATACCGTCCGTCTTGACCTAAAGGCCATGAGTGCGACACACCCACTTCCCTACCTGTGCTTCAATCACAGGTCCTTTCATTGACATACGTGACCCTTCGTACACATCTACCATCCCCGTGGACAAAGACACATCATTTCTTCAAACCCCCAAAAGCTCCTATAAATTGAAAAACTTAGGAGAAAAAAAACAATGCGAAGCCAACGTCCTTGCTGGATAAGCATAACAACTGTCATGGGCTGGCATATGCAGAGATGGTGACCAAAACGCCATTTAATAAAATATCTACGGTTGTGGTACTCAAAGCGAAGACTCAAAAATGAGCCTTGAAATTATATTATAGTTTCAAATTACGACGCACCTGTTGGTGCTAACCCAATTGGTGCCTACAGCCCGAAGTGGATTTGAGCAGCTCCTTCTACGACGCAACCTGCGTGCATTGTCAAACAAGTGAGACTTGTACTGTTGTCACGGAGTTGTGACGTGCTACAGTGACGTCGTTTGATCTGACCTTTTGGGGTGAGAGAACCACCCCCCTCCTGTTTGTGTTCAGGAGTGTTACAGAGAGGCGGGCACATGCATATAATAAAGTATTACATTGCTACTCATGTAAATATAACAGTCCTTACACGATGTCAGCATTTTTATTTTCACTATAATTGTCTTCGATGCTTTTGTGTCTCAGAGAGGGGGTTATCCTCTAAACCACCCCTTCTAGATCTGCGCCTGCACTGCGTGCGGACTCCTTCACACAGCAGTCACGCAATCTTGTCCAAGATTTCACAACTTAATCTGTCAATTCCCCTTTCCTGTCACAATATGAAGATGCCTTGATCAGTCAAAAGCTTCGGCGGTTCGCATCGTTTGGCATCAATCAAACTTTCTCGCAATTGTGTTCCACCGCCAGAAAATAATTTGTAGCTACTTGCCTCTGGACAGCTGGAGCCCTCTTTATTAGTCCAGGGCTTATTAATCGTTGTTGTCGGCGAAGTTGATAAAACATATTGCATGCAAATATTTACAAAATTTGATGCATTCTAGTATTTGGCCGCAATCCAATCAATCAAATTTATTTTATAAACCGCTCATGCCATTCACCAAAATCATAACTGAGAATTACAACTACTCCTTTTCACGTTTGCATGTCATTTTAAAGCAGATTATTTTTATTACTTGTCACGCAAGCGCTTTAAACGTAATAACAAATTTATCTTCAGACGAACTTGATGCGCAATACAGATATACGGGCCTACGTGCTTCCTTTGAATTTACAGTAAATTAATAGATAATGCGTTTTGCCTTTAGCGTAAGAATAGTGCATTGGGTAGAGTTAAAATAGCACCGTCCATTGAATTATGACCAATCACAGCCATGGTTCACACTATACATACGTGCACAGAAGGCTGATATGCATGCATGCGCGTATGACGCGCGCGGCTGGAACACGCAGTGTTGCATTAAAGAGAGCACGTCGTCCCAGCAAACGTGTTCCCATGGGTACAATCTTGCTGCACCATGTTGGTTCCCACCATGTCTTGCGTGATCATAATCACTGGTAGTATATAACTTAAATATCCCACTATTTGGGATAGCCTTTCTAAATTGGGACATAAATCACTGCGTCTACGTGTGACGCAGATTTACGCGTGTTTGACGTGCTTTAGAATACGCGGGCATGAGCATGTAGCTTTTGAAATTGGCATTTGACCCAGTTTATCTTTATATATGCTCATCTTCAATTCATTCATTCGTTCGTTCTGCCGTTCGTTCGTAAGTTCGTTCGTACATTCTTTTCTTCGTTCAATTTATTCAAAAGCCATGTAATAAACATGAAACGTGTCCTAGTCAATAAAAACACAGATCAAAATCCACAACAAGAAGTCACAGTTAGACCACTAAATTAAAATATAAAAAGAAAAATTCAATTAAAGATTGACAATTACACAGGCCGAATAAAACCATATTTACCTATACACCAAACTATAAGACACTAAAGCAATACCCCTGGACAAAAAATACCATCCTATTTAAAAACCTTGAAGTGGCGCTAACTTGAAAATATGTTGCTATTGTAATTTCTAATGGCCGTAGGGATGGAGGAATTCCTCAGCCTATCGGTGGTCAGCCTAAGTTGTCTGATCCTACCAGACCTGTTAAAAACAACACTGAGATGAAGCAGGTGATTGTTGTCAGACACAATGGTCAGGAATTTGTTCTAGCTCTACTACACAAAGTATCTAAATGCTCTCATAGGCTCTCATATGACAGCCCATGATACCACACAACACTACAGAATAATATAACAGACTGAATGACTGCCTGATAAAAGAGGTATAAAATATCATAATGAACATAGAATGATTTCATTCGCCTAAGGAAATACAGACGTTGGTTACACTTAGCACTGATTTTTCCCGTGTTACACTTCCAATTCAGTTTATCATCAATATAAACGCCCAAGTACTTGTGTTCAGAAAAAATATCAACATCGTCATTCATAATTTTTTAAAGCTCATGGTCACGTCTCCTTTGCCGAATATAAATTCTTTACATTTAGCAACATTGAGGGGTAAGATAGTTGACATAGCACCATGACACAAACAACCATGACATCAACATTGTCTCTGTATCCATTGACATCATTGTTACAGATTAATCCAACAAGACAGGTATCATCTGCGTATTTTACAGTAAAACAAGATTAGTCTGTACATAAATGTTATGGAGCAATTAAAGTAATAGCAGCATCCTCCACACGTCGTCTTTCTCTATACGCAAATTGACATGGATTCATGATCGTCTTAGTTTGTGACAAAAGCATACCACTGATAATCTTCTCACAACACTTCATCGGAAAAGCTGCAAGTGCTATTGGTCTGTAATCAATCATAGCAATTGGTTTAGGTATTTTGGATATCCGAATGACAACAGAGGATTTCCAGAGTTTAAGAACAGCCTGAATGTCCAATGACCACTGAAATAACAAATAGCCACGCGCACGCAGCCCATGGAGTCTAGGTTGAGTCTGTAGTGCCCACGTGTGCAATGGGCGGGGCTTACTGGATCGGTGTATTAAATGTGAGATAGTGAAATGTATTAGGACGAAACGGCGGCCCCTTTAGATTAAAAAAACAAAGGAACAAACAAACACCCACACGGAAATGGGAAAATCGTAAACACATCAGTGTTTCCTTTAATGCCGCATGAGCTAACATTGGGGCACTCTCTGAAATTGTTCTGCTTAATTCTGTGAGCTTGAAGCAGGAACGAATATCCGCCCGGAGTTGGTCAAATCGTATATACGTGTTTTCATTTTAATGACCCAGTGTTTTTCCTACCGAAGGCACCAAAGGACCAACACAACTTACGACTTGATCTCACGTCTTATGAAAGGTCCACACATCAACTAGACATGCTCATTTAGTTAAAATAGCCACATGACTGGTTGTTGGTTGGCTGATACATTATTTTTATTAAGGGCCTACCTTTTGCCTCAAAATTTCTTTTCGCAGAATTAAAAGCCACTAAGAGGTTTTGTGTTCACACTATCTGCCTTTAGCAGAAGCACCCCCTCATCAGTTGAAAAGAGCGATGTTGGGGGAGAATATTCACTTGGTCGGTAGCGACGCGACCTCAACGCGTGCATTTCTCAGTCGTTCGTGAACAAGTGAAGTTTAGTTCCTATCAAAAGAACCTCCATTGCTGAAAAAAATTGCGCCCTCTCTTGGTCCCGCTCGGACCCATTTTTTCTTTGAATTAAACAAGAAACGGACCACTGATCTTTCACTGGGGTTTTCTGCTTAAAAGCTCCAATGATCTGTATTTTTCTCTCTTTTTCCAGATCCTGCTGGGCAACAGCCAAATAATGGTTCACCTGTTGGTTAGCAGCCAGCTACTGGTTCACATGTTGGTCATACTCCCAGTAAAGAGCGGATCGTCCGGTTTCAAGAACAGATATCATGTAAAGCGTACTAAGCTCTAGCGATTTTTGTTGTCCATTTGTTAGACTTGTGAAGATAGTGTAGCCAAAACGCGGCCTCGATATCGAACAGAAATGTTTTGGACACGTCTTTGATATACTCATTGCTACAGTTTGAAGCAATTGTTAATGTGTAGTTTGCATTTACTGTAAGGGGTCGTCTTCATACACACACCTGTTCACATGTGTGCGGGATTTGCCTGCATTTTAGATCCCCCACCACTCACTCATTCACCACCACGAATAAACATTCCACATTCCTCCATAGGCGTTGTGTACTATAGTCGCAGCAGGAAAATTAAAACAAACAGTGGGTGAATCGAGGAATAGTGTGTAATTAATTTAGCAAGAGAGTGTTTCCAAGTATTTATTTAGTATGAGAAATTACAAGGATTACATGGGCACTTATTCGATTCTTTGCTCTTAATGTGCACGCTGACTTGCAACAACTCCATACGCATGGTTTACGCAATATTACAAACACCCAAATTACAAATAGGTGCATGATTACTTTATGAACGATCCATGCAAAGGGTAAGCCTGCTTGGCTGATATCTTTTCATTCGGTTAAGCGCCCTCTATCCTATGATAAAAGCACACTGGTACCCTTGTGTAATGTATGCAGTCGCGAATTATTGTAGGAACGTTTGAGGGCGTAGTGTCATGGAAGATCTCCATGAACTTCAACCAGCATCTGTAAGGTTTACCCCACTGCTTATAGTAAGGTATTACCAAGTGTCATCAGAATTTTAAAAAAGAAAAAAACAAAAACAAAAACAAAGTTGAATGTTAACGTCCTAAAAATAATTGTTAACCTGGTGCAAATTGTTTGCCACGTTAAAAGAAGTGTCAAGTAAAACCATATTTATTTAGTGATTGCCAGGAATTTGTCATGATGCAATGATGTAAAAAGCTCAATCTTATTTTAAAAGCTTGAAGCTGACGGAAGAGTGTTAATCCCGTTTAACAGAGGCATATTTTTGACTTGAAAATATCACCTTCTTTCCTCATGAATTTGTTCTGAATGCTTTTAAAAATTAAAAAAAAAAGAGATTCTACTGCAAAAAACCTGAATGAACTTTTTTTAATTGAGAAGTATATGATAGGAATATCCAGACAATGTCACGTTCTGCCTTAACAGCTGTATCGTCTAATGGATTGGAAGACGACAGCGGCTATAGAGGGTTTGCATGGCTGCCATCTTGAAGGCCAAAGTGTGAAACCTCTATTCTCTTTTTCTCGTGATGGAAATACGCAGCATTGTGGGAAGTGTACCGCCACGATCAGCGCATGCGTAAATGCAGAAATATGGCCAACTGGTCAAACTCAAACAGAGTCTACCCAATAAAAGCGCCATTCATTTGCTGGCTTCTCGTCATCTGGCATGTAATTCCACTTTTGGAGAAACGGAAAGTCGGTGTCAGTGGTTAAAACCGAAAATATAACCAGAAAAAATAAAATCGAAACGATTCATGCAAGATTCCAGCGACTTGAAACATACCAAAACCATCGCTCTCAAACATTTTCATCACAAGGATTAAAACAATGAGAATGATAAGATATGTAAAAACGTTCGCGTTTAGGCACCTTTCCACAGGCACGTCAATACTTGCACCAAGCGTTGCGTGTCCGTCAAAATCGCTCCCGGAGCTGGAGCGATTTTGACCAAACGCAACCCACACGCGTGTTATATTAATTGAGTCATTTTTTTGTGTCGGTTAAAGTGAACAGCATGAACGCGTTGCATCTGCAACGCTACCCAAAAACGTAAATATGGAAAGCTGTCTTTAATAAGAATTGTAAACTTTCATGCAATCCGATGTCTTTCCCTTTGTACGCGCCTGAAGTCGCGAACATGTCCCTTGTTGTCACCGTTCTGTGGATGAAGTCTTCAGGGGCGGATACAGGATCTTTTTTCCGGAGGGGTCAGACCCGTCAGAATCATTACTATTGTTGTCATTTATTCGACCTCAACAACAAAACAACGAAGTTTGGAAAAACAAAAGCAACAGCAAAACACAAACAAACGAAACCAAAACCAAAAACACACAAGGTAAAAATACATACATACAAAGGCGTGCATACAAAGTAAACAGGCAATGTGCACAGAAAAGGGTTAGGTAGGGCAACCTGATAAGCACAGAACAGCCGGGATGTAATCAAAATGAGACGGGGAGCACACAGGTGTGAGAACCTGAAGTGGTCATTTACCCCCCTCCCTTTCAGAAGAAAAGACAGGACAAAACGAGAAGGCTGATACTCTATGCAGGTCAGGGAAGACAAAAGTAAACTTAATCACTGTTGCTGGGAAGCAAGTCATCCCGTGCATAGTACTAGGAGAGAACAAAACAAACAACCAAACAAACCAACATGGGAACAGGGAGAGAGGAGAAGCAAATTTAAGGGAGTCTGAATTTTGTACAACACTGGCACCTCACATTGACAAAATATCCTGGTTGTGTCCTTTCTGTCTTGCTAGAGAGTGTATACATTGTCGCTGATAAACGTCACTGTCGTGATTTCTAATTACGCTGCACAGTGTGTTGAATGTGTCAAGCCCGAGGATGCACCGATGACTCACAGCGTCAAATCAACTTGATCAATAGCTTTAATGTTTTGTTCTTAGATTGGCCCAGTTTGTTCCCCCACCAGTCACGATACTTAAATTAAACGAAACCCCTCCCCGGTAAAAAAGACAAATCGAGCTGTTCTTGTTTTATTTAAAACATCGCGAGGCAGAATTATGGACAGGTGTACTGAAGGGTCGCAAGAAATAGATCCTCGGGAGCCAGAAGGAGCAACTGTAGTCAACAAAAGATAGAGTTAATAGAACTTTATAGAAAGGATTGCTTGACCGCTCAGAACCGTAGCTGGAATTATATGAAATATTCAAGGCATGTCATGTTCTGTTACCCTCAAAATACAAGTACGATTATACCAAATATTGTAATCACAAGGGACAGAATCGCTACCCTCAAATAAGTTATTCTCTGCTTCATTCAAGCATTTTATATAATGACTATTGCAGCTGTTGGTTTTTTCTCTTTTTTTCATGCTCTTCGATAGTATAACTCCTAGCCTGGACGTGGCTAAAATTTTAGGTGGGAATGGAAACGTGGGGCCCAGAGGATCTCAAGTGCCAATTAAAGGAACGGTGAAATAAATCTCCACGGAAAGCCTGCCAACATTAATCGCCTGAAGTGAACTTTCTACGACAATTTGCAAAACGTATAGGTAGAAGCAAAATCTTATATAAACGCGGAAATAGGTGTTTAGAATGTGCATAATACAAACGGCTCAACTTGCGTTGTTATACATTCATCTCCTTCCACTCGTCCAATTTGCCAGAACAAGATGGTGAACAAATGGGTGATCCCGCCCTGGTCAATGGTAAAATGCATGTGAAACCCCTCCATTTGCCCTTTCTCTGCATTGTATTGTTGCTTGAACCTGTCGTAGTAATTGTGCTTATAGACAATGGCAAACCCAAAACCAATTTTACAAGGGGATCGGGTTCGTATGTAGGGAAGGGTGGCAGGAAATACAGAGTTTGTATATTATTATTTTATGTGCCTTCCATGGCTCCCTGAGGGGTGAGGCTATACATTTTTAACATGCTTTATAAAAGAAATTAACATGAGAATAGACCCCCATTGCCTTTCATTATTGAAAAAAATGGCTCTTTTGAGGATATATCCGCCCCCCACCTGCCCTTGCAGTCCAGTCAGTCAGAGCGTCCAGGTGATATACCATCAGTCTCACCTCTTAGGGAAGGAGAAGCACTCATGCAATATATTAAAACCCATCGGAGCAACAAAGCGAGACCCACGCAACAGAAAGAGGGAAAAGGATGCAGGCAGTTTAACTATTATTTAGGGAGCACTGCGTTTCAGGACATGAGTAGGACTGGCATGGGACTATGCAGTCGTTTATAGAGTGTTGTGCGACCCCACTTGAAGACACGGTGATGGGCCATTTTACTTTAACAATAAAAGAGCCGGGGCGGAATCCCCCCCCCCAACTTCTTTTCCCCAATATCACCGCAGTAACTTTTTTCCACGAATCCAGCCTCTAGGAGTTTTTATCAACCATTTATGGTCCTTTTGACACTACGTTTGTGTGAATAAGCATACTCGAATCTGCAAAGAAACGGCTGAACAGCGCCAAATTATGACATCCCATCGTCCACCCTTCAGAAAGTGAATAAGACAAAAAAGCAAGTCTGGTCCGAGCCAGTCTGGCTCATCAGGCTAGTGTTTATCAACGGTTTCCTTGGCATGAAACGACTGAGAATATTTCTATTCTCCCCTGGATGGGATGCCAGTCCATCGCAGGTTGCTTCCCCAGCTAATGCTGGTGCCCATTTATGCTCCTGGGTGGAGAGAGACAAGCAGGGGTGAAGTGGCTTGCCAAGGGCCACAACATACTGCCAGCAGCTGGATTTGAACCTCCAGCCCTACGATTAGAAGCCACCGACCCTAGCCCCTTCCCCCACAGATAAAATGAAGCTCCGTTTTCATTGAACATGTGATCCAAACATGGAGTCATCTTTGCCACAAAAAAAATCGGTTACACCACCTAAATATCGAAAACCGTCGGTACAATAGACGAGTTTTGCATTACTCTTTAAAATATAACGGCAATGTCTCTAGCTCCATTTTTCTACCACCTGGCAACCTTTTAGACACTTAGAAACGGCAAGTTTGATACTGCTCTTCCTCCTCAATGGACGTCAGTTTGCAAGAGGATTTATCAACACTGACCCCTGCCGAAAACAAAAGGTCAACATTTTTTAAGGTTATACCAAAGTTTTTCACTCATCTGAAGCTGTATGCCACGTACTCTTCGTCCTCAGAGAATGTTTTGTTTTGAACTGCTGAACAAGCACAGTGCATATCGCCAACACAGCTTTCACACCTTTAGAAACAAAAATTCAGATAAAATTTGGAAACATGTTGAATTAGAATTCTCTTTCAATTGGATGCCCACTTGATTCAAACAAGCGGAAAGGAGGCACTAGGCTTTGGCGGGTAAAAAGAAACCTTTTCAATTAGCCTGTTGCGAGTTAAATTTGAATCAAATCTGGTACACTGAGTTCTTTAGTCTCAGGTATTCAAACTGCTACGTTTATGTGCAATCAGTGTGTCAAATGTTATTCATATTTAACTCGCAAAGGGCTTATCAATGTGCAAGAAGACTTCCCAATGAATTCACACGTTACAGGCATATTTGTATGTATCAGAATTCCTCACACTATCGTGGCTGTAAGGTGGTTCTGGATCAATTACTGCGCGGCAGAAGGAAAAATGAGATTCTGAGGTCACCATTTTGTTGAGTGAATGGGACTAGTAACCGTCCAGATTAATTTGGATTTGAGACGAAACCAAATCCCTTGATACGTATTTGATGAGGCCCTTGTTTTTAATGACGGCACGTGAGAAGTTGATAGAGTTGGTAGAGATGTAGGTCATGGATATAGCCCTTGCAGTTGTGGATCGATTAAACCCTAAAGCCAACTCATCAGCCCAATACACGTAACGTAAGTAACGTAACGTAATGTCCCCAATCTCCAAGCTTTTTCCAAATCAATTCTCTTGTGACGAATGTCACTTTTAAGGCTCTTTATTTGAAAGAAGGCTTTAATCAAAGACAAGTCGGTTCACTAAAAAGTACAATATTGCCTGTTTCATGTTCTCAGAATGCATTATTATTTATCAAGACACATTTTGAAAATCGTCTGTTTACTTTTTTCTTTTCATAACTTTTGTCTGGTGAATATTGCAAGAAATCCCAATTGTTTAGTCCTTTAAAATTGTGTTTTCAATGGCTTGTCAATTTTTGTTCACGCCATGAATTGTCATTAAAAAACTCATATATCCACGTTCTCTTAATCGGCATATGAACCTAACACAGACAATGCTAAATGGTGTCCTCATGGAATAACTTATTTTATTTTGTTGAATAAAACTGTTACATGCATGACCAAAATTTTCCTCGAGAAAAGAGTATGTGTGTCATGCATGAGCGACGCCTTTCCTGAGAGTGTACGAGTACAGAGGGGGCATGCCCGAAG